TGTAATATTCCTTCACGAATATTATGTGGTTGGTTCTCATAAATAACTATCACTTATATAGACAACACTGTTTATTATTAACATATGTAAATATAATATAAAAAGAAAAGGTAAATTAGTGACATGATCTTGTCTGACTTCGCAAGTCAGTCCCGAGAATGCTTCTCTCTCTTTCTGATTAATTACTTTTTCGGAGGTGAGTGTGCGAAGCGCCCTCTGGCGAAGATGTCCGCACACTACACCCCCCACGCAAGATTGAAGTATCTCCCTTGATACTTAATCTGACAAAACATATAAATTGATAGTAAACAACCATATCGTAAATATATAAACTAAAATGACAATTAACATTCATCACTAATATTAATGAATATTTCAAATAATGCAAATAATGTAGTTAAATTCAAATAATAAAACATTTTCAATAAGTAGATAATGCACTCAATTATTTAACATAACGTAGCATTAAACTATTAAAATTTATAACTTGCTTATAAAATCAAAATAATATATATATATCAAAAAAAACTTTCAATTATCAAAAAAAGTAAACAGTCAATATTTAAGTCATAGTATTTGGAAACAGGCGAGATAATGCATCAGCATGCGGCATTTTGGAACCAGGGCAATGTTTCAAAGTTATATTATACTTTTGAAGAGCAAACACCCATCGCTGTAACCGAGATGACTGAGGAGCACACTTCGTTAAATACTGTAAAGGATTGTGGTCGGTGTAAAATTCTATTTCAGAGCCAAATATCAATGATTCAAATTTCTTTAATGACCACACAATAGCGTAAGCTTCTCGTTCTATAGTTGACCAGGCTTGTTGTGTTTTGGTCAATTTATGACTAGCGTAAGACACTGGGAAAGTTTTATCCTTTATTCGAAAGTTTTATATTTTATCCTTATTACAGGCTCCTATTCCAATCTGTGATGCATCTGAGTAAATGATGTAAGGATTACCGGGCACTGGTGTGTAAAGTGATGGGGCTTCAGCAAGGGCTTGTTTGAGACGAGAGAACACAGAGTCATGCACTTCACTCCAGGGAATTTCTTCCGGCACTCGCTTTTTTGTCAATTCTGTTAGAGGATACACTAATTCAGCATATTTCGGAATATAATCTCGGTAAAAACCACATAATCCAAGTACACTTCTCAATTCTTTCTTAGTATTTGGTCTTGGAAGTTGTTTAATGACTCGAACTTTTTCTGGATCGGGCTGGAGTTCACCCGAACCGATGATATGTCCCAAACACTTGATACTTGGTTTAGCGAAAGAACATTTCTTCAGGTTAACAGTGAAATTGAGTTCTTCTAATCTTTTCAGAATCAACTCCAAATGTTCTAAATGTTCTTCAAAACTGTTCGAAAATATACCAATATCGTCTATATATGCTAGTGAAAAGTTTTTAAATGGTGTTAGGGCCTTGTTCATGACTCTCTGAAACGTTGCTGCAGCATTCCGGAGTCCAAACGGCATAACTCGAAATCTGTACTGAGAATTGTGAGTCTTAAAGGAAGTTAAATCATAACTTGCTTCCTCCATAGGAATAGCATAGTAACCCTTCAGCAGATCTAGGTTTGAGATTACATTAGCTTTCCCTATAGTATGGATTAACTCAGTAATATCTTCCATAGGAAAATCGTCAATTATAGTCACAGCATTCAACGCTCGATAGTCGATCCCTCCATCTTTTTTACTAACGCACACCACTGGATAAGCAATTTCAGCTGAACTTTCTTCTATTAAACCAGCATCTAAAAGCTCTTCTATTTGTTCATCTACTTTTCCTTTCAAAGCATCCGGAATACGGTATATATAAGGCCTCTTCCTCTCATTGTTAGGTATGAGTCGAATCTTATGCTCTTCAACATTTGCTTTCTTTAATTTTCCAGTCATAAGTTCTTGATGTTTACCCAGCAAAGAAATTAATTTTCTTTTCTGATCATCACTCAAATGTTCTAAGTCCAATCGTGAATCAAACATAACTTTTCCAATATTCGTTTCAGGTACTGTAATAATTTCACCAAATTCGTCCTCATTTTCAAAAATCACACCGATTGAATTAACTCTAGCATGAAATCTCCTTATCTTGTTTACATGCACTTGTTTCACTCTCCCATCTGGTAATTTTACCATGTAAGAATGTGGGGAACAGTGCTTGACAATTTCACCTGGACCAGTCCATCGGGCATATATTTTATCGGCAGAATCGGGGATTAAAAGTACTACCTGTTCACCGACATTGAAATTTCGCACTGAAGATCTTTTATTAAAATAGTCACTGTATGCTTTCTGTTTGTCAGCAGCCATCAATGAAGCACTTTCAGCAGCCTTTTCCAGTCTGACTTTCAGTTCTTGAAGATAATCAACAGCTGACTGAGACAAAGTGGTAGGGATTCTAATTTCACCAGACCAAGATGATTTCAAGATAGACAATGGACCACGGGCCTCTCTACCATAGAGTAGCTTGAAAGGAGATACCCCAGTAGTAGTGTTTGGAACCTCTCGGTACGAGAATAGCAGAAACGGGAGTTGCAGGTCCCAACCTCTTGGATCTTCACGTATTACGTGATGCAACATATCTTTTAGTACTCGGTTCCACCTTTCCACTAGTCCATTCGCCGCAGCATAACCCGGACAGGAGAATCTGGGACTCGAACCAATACACTTTTGAAATTCTTGAGTTAGGGCAGACTTAAAATTAGTCCCCTGATCACTAGCTATAACGTTGGGTATACCAGTTCTTGTAAAAATTGTAAGTAAAGCATCGCAAGTTGTTTTAGCAGATAGCGATTTCAACGGCACAGCTTCAGGCCAGCGAGTATTTTGATCAACAAGACAAAGTACATATTTGTGTCCTCTGCTAGATGGTGGGTCTATAGGACCAATGACATCCACATTCACAATTTCGAAAGGAAGTTCGGGACGAACCACAGGAGTTATGGGCGCTCTATCGCCAATTTTCTCAGTTTTTCTAAGTTGGCACCCTTCACAAGTTTGGACAAATTCCGTTATATCTTTCCTCATATTCGGCCAGTAAAAACTATATTTTATTCGCTCTTTAGTTTTCCTAACCCCCATATGACCCCCAAAAACGGATTCGTGTGCCAATTTTAAAACTTTATTTTGCCTACATTTTGGTAAAACTAACTGCATAACTGACTCATTAAGAATTTTATCCTTATGGTAAATTAATCCATCCATTAAAATAAAATTGCCTTTGTTTTGTTTTAATTCCGCGCGAATTTTTTCTAATGAAATACAATTAGTTTGTTCTTCTTTTAATTTACAATAATCTGAAAACAATTTAGAATCTTCATTTAAAATATTCGTCTCACTCCCACTCAATGAGCAACCGCTCTCTTCCCCCTCTGACAAAATATCCTTTTCATTAATATGTTGTAAGAACACGTGTGCTGATTCTTTTTGCAATACGCACCGATTTTCACTGCTTTTCCCCTCGCAAGAACTCTCAAAGTCTGACGAAATCAGTTTCTCATACAAAAACGGTGGTATCAACGCATCTACATTTAATTTATCTGTCAAGGTAATTATACATTCTACGGGATAATTTAATGCAGAATCTCTATTTAATGAGACCATTGTTTTTACCAACTTAGCCTCAACATGCTCCCCAAACGCCGAACTCAAAATAATCTTTCCATATTCCTCCTCCTCGGCGCCAGGAATCAAATTCGAATTACAAACAAAAATTTGAGTACCAGAATCTATTACACATTTCAATTTCTTCCCCCCTCCCACGTACACTGATACATACTTCAAAGGGTGAAGGTCAACAGATGGATAAAAATGTTCGGAGGAGAGTTTTGCAATGACAACATTTTCTTTAACTTTCATTTTCAAATATTTATTCCCACAATGTTTTGCTAAATGATTTTCTCCGCATATGTAACATTCTAGTTTCTTATTTATTTTATTTTCTTTTGACTTCGGTTTTATTTCTTCGCGTCGTAACTGAGGCGCTATATATTTAGAATCATTTCGAGTATAGTTTTGATTATAAGACTGTGGTTTTTGATAATTAGAATATGTATCAGAAAAAGATTTTCCTTTTGACGCAAAGTACATATCGCATTCTTTACCCATTTGTACCGGTTTAAACCAATCTTGCTCTTGTTTTATATTTATATGCATCGCGGTTTCATGATCTAATGATTGATACAATTTATCACTTACAATTAATTCTTTCAAACTATTTAAATCCTGTACATTTCTTAATCTACAATATTGTTCCCAACTGGTAGATAATCGAGATGCAAATTGTACATGAGTTTCGTTTGATATACGACGCGCTTTTTGAAAGTTTTGTAAACAAATTAGAGGTGTCGGTTCATACTCTTTTAAAATTGCATTTTTCAATTTCTCATAATCGTTTATTTCCTCATCTTTGATATAAACTAAAATATTTATGGCTTTTTCTCCGAGAAGGTTTAATAAAATTTCCCCCTTAAATTCCTGAGGTACATTTTTGCTTCGAAAAGCTCGCTCTAAAGACGAAAAGAATAAATTCCAACAATCTGTTCTTTTCGGAATAAGTATAGTTAAAGCTCGTACACTTTGAATATAGTTTTCCACTGATTTCGTCTGACTTGTGATTTCGCTTTCAGTACTACATTCTCTCGTACTCGCTAGTTTCGTTTTCTCGAAGTTTATTTTCTCTAGCTCTGCGTTTATTTTTGCTTTTTCTAGATTTATTTTTTCTAAGTCTATCTTAGCTTTTTCGAATTCAATTTTCGCTTGCTGTTCTTCTCTCGACTTTCGCTCCGCAATTATCGAATCAGCAAATTGTTCTATAAAATCTTTATCATTTTTATAATGCGCACTATTTAGAATTAAATTTCTCAAATCAATTACCTTCATATCGGGATTTATCGACTCCCCGATCTCTTCTGCAATTAATTTAAGATCTTCTTTTTTAGCCCCTTTAAACATTTTTAAATTCTTATATTTCCAACTTTAAAATACAAACAATTTAAAAACTTAAACACAAGAAATATGTCCACACAAGTGATTAAAGCAAAAAGAGTGCCTACCTCGTAGTCTTTAATGCTTTCGATTTATCCATGATCCTAGGAGACGGCGACAGTGTAACATTCCTTTATGAATATTATGTGGTTGGTTCTCATGAATAACTCTCACTTATATGGACAACACTTTTTATTATTAACATATATAAAAATAATATGAAAAGAAAAGGTAAATTAGTGACATGATTTTATTTGACTTCGCAAGTCAGTTCCGAGAACGCTTCTCCCCTATTTTAATTAATTACTTTTTGGAGGTGAGTGAGCGAAGCTCCCCTGGCGAAGATGTCCGCACACTACACAATTATCATGATTTTTTTAGACTTTTTCGAAAACAATGTTTTATCATTATTCAAGATACGGAAAGAGCCAGAATCCCAAAATAGACCGTACTAGAAGTATGTTGTTTTTTACAAATCTCAGATCAGCATACTAGCTGTTAGGTCGTGTATTCCGAACTTCGATTAAACCTTTATCTGGCACGTCTCTAGCACAAATTTTGCGATATCTGGAAGCTCTTCGAAATTTAAATATAATTAAGTAAAAGATANAACAACCGAAATCAGGAGAATGTCGACTTTCACTGGTAAATGTTAACAATCACTTAGTCGCTTTGGCCAATTTAGATACGAAATATTTGTTACATCCGATTTGATATTAATTTATTCGTTGATATTATTATATTTATTTAATATTTAGTGATGATAGATTAGGAGAAACATCAGTGTTCGGAGTACCAATTAAATGTATACCGGGCACTTAACTAAAAAAAAAAACATTGTTGAAGGGCTAACCGGGCAATGGCACTGAGCCAAAAAAAAAAAAAAAAACATTGTTGAAGGGAACAGATGTGTATTCATAGCCTTCTTCTTTTCCATTATACATACAATGTAACCTGCGTAAATTGAACAATTACAGTGCATTGCTTTGTGGTTAATTTAGAATTTAGTGGTCAGAATATAGAGGGGGGTAACTTTTCTTTTTTTAATTTATTATATCATGTTATTCTTACATTTCTTAGGTTTTACCAGAACGAAATAATAGATATATACCCAAGAATAGGACTAGGTGATGTAAGAAATTTTATATCATGATAAAATTGTCTGTTAGACATTGGATTGTTAGGATGTATCGTGTTATGAGATAAATTCAGATATAATTTCTTTTAAAACAAAAGCACACTATTAGAAATCTGAAATTATTCTTAAGTAAATTAAAATAAACATCTAAAACATCTTTAATAAAAATTATTATTTTAAAATTGCTTTTAAATCATCAATAAATTCACACAATGGTTTTTAATTAATATAAAAGATGGATTGTTCTAAAGCAGAATTTTGAAAGTAAAAATAAGCTTTGCTTTAGCTTTATAGAACTTTGTCTTATTTGAAAATAGAAATGACTGATGATTTATGTGTTTAAAAATAATGAAGTTCTAACGAAATATTTTACTTACATGCATTAAATTTTTTTTTTTTTAAAAAGTTGGTCAAAGAACTAACAAAGGTTATTGAACACTTAAGTAAAACAAAGTTTAAATTATTTGAACTTAATCAAAAAAAATTATAACGTAATTTTTTAAGAAAATGTTATTGAAATATTATCTATTTTAATTTTTTTTAAAAATAAGATCAACTTAAGAGTTATAAGTTAAAAATAATACTGGATTTCGAGCAAAATATTTAACTTGCATGTACTAAAAGAAAATTTTCAAAAATTGAGTAAAAATTAGTTATTACAGAAAAATTTACTGCACATTTTTTAAAATTATTATTAAAATAAATGGTTTTATGGTATGGAAACATCACTTAAGTTTTTATTAAAGCAATAAAGTTGAATTTATTCACAGCAAGTAAAAGAAGTAACAGAAATGTTGGCACATCAAAAGAGCTTCAAAATAATATGAATTTTCTTTAATTTTAGGTAACTGTTGAGAATTTTATACGAATTTTAACCGGAAGATTATCTCCTAGTACTCCCAGGTCCAAACGCTTGCTTTCTGACGAACACAGCAATATTTTGATTTACATGACAGGTGAAGAATAATAAAAATTTTGGATTTATTTACCATTTATATTATTGTGCATAACAACCATGATTTTATTATACACGAAGCAAAAATGAAATCAAGCTAAAACACGATATTATTTTTACAAAGTCACCGAATGGCATACTAAGACTGTTTTTGGATGACCTAATTGGTTTATTATATTTCATTATAGAATTGAAAGAAATGAAAAAAAAATTTTTTTTTTAGAATATTATTTTGCCTATTTATTAACCCACATTTAAAAAACATTTTAGAACATTGTCTTTTCTTTTGGTGGACAATTTTTTGATATACTGCGCTTTTGTTCCATGTAAAAAGTCTATATTTTATTCTTGAATAAATAAGTGTTATACCTTACAATCTTATGTAAATGATAAATATCAATAAAAATTTTTTTCTTCTTAGCTTTCACATTGTTATTTTCAATTCTCGGGAAAAGATGACCTCTCTTTGAAGTCAGTCTTGTCGTAAAAAGTATTCCATAACAATTAAAACCATCTATAAAACTTATATATTTTTGTTCAAATTTTGAATAATAAAATTTGTTCAGAAGCATAATAATCTTATTGATTTAGCTTTTTTTAAAAAAATTTTTAAAGAACCTTTTTAAATATTTTTTTAAGGAAATATATTGAGTTTCTAGGTTTTATTTTTAGGATATTTATTGAAATTCTAATATAGTGCGCTCAAGAGGGCTTCCTAATCACAACTCTTGATATATTTTTGTAGAATCCTTGTTAAATTTTATATATATATTTTAAGGACAGTCATTACAGAACATTTTGCTCTTTGTTTAGTTGTAATTTTATTTCTGTGAAGTCAATATTTTAGCCACTTTTATGTAGTAAGAGCCAAAATATCAAAATTTGGTATTTTCCTTGCAGTTTTGATGACTTTATAGTTGGAGTTGTATGTTAACTATATACTTAAGTTCACTCTTATTAAAGCTTTTTTTCCTTCAATGAAATTCTGATATTTTTTTTTCCTTTACTTAAACTACATTACATTTGTGTTTTACTTTTTTCAGAACCATCTTTTTCCTATAATTATATTGCAGTTAACAATTATTTATTAGCTTGATTTTATTTTTGCAGGTCATGGAGGTGAAGGTTTTTTGAAGTTTCAAGATTCTGAAGAAATCACAAATGTGGAACTTGCTGATGCTTTTGAACAAATGTGGGAAAAGAGGAGGTAAGAGTTATTTCTTTATCGTTTAAAATTAAATTTGCTTATGTTAATTTTATGAAAGTTTTTTAGATTAATGAAAGTATTAAAAATAAAAAAGGAATAATTCCTTTTTTAATTGTTTGAAAAGTTTTTTTTAAAAATTTCCTCTCTAATTTTATTTAATTTCTCTTTTTATTTAATTTTCATATTGTTGATAAACTTTGATGAAAGTGAATAATTCTATTAAAGTTCTTGTGAAATTTAAAAGCTACAATTAATCTTTTTATGTTATTCCTTTTCTGTAAATCCTTTTATTTTATTTTATTTTATTATTCTAATAGAAACACTTTCTCACACTTTTAAATTCTCATCCTATCCATAAATCTATTTTTGGCTCAAGTATGCATTAATTAAAAGTAAGACATTTTTCCTTTACTTTTTGTGGGATTTAACCTATTTAACTTTTGTGGGATCAACCTATTTAATAAATCAATTGTAATTATTAATGTTTCCCTTTTTCCCTAAAATATAATAAAATAGAGGGAAATTCATTTTCTACTTTCCCTAGGATAAAAACTTAAGCACACAGTTTTGGAGTGCGAATTTGAGCTCCGCCACTGATAGAAAATGTTTTGAATATACCATGTGAGGCTAAATAAAATATATTTACCTTCCAACTGCTATCTGTGTGGCTCAACAACACTCAATCATGACTGTCACCCTTTCATATATATATATATGTTTTAAATTTGACTCTTAGTTTAATATTTTTCATGTGATTTATCTGGAAAAAAAATTTGTTTACTCACTTTGAATGCATAAATCATATAGCTCTCAGACTTTTTTTTTAAAAATGTTATGAATTTTGCTTCAAACCACAAAAGTATTATACATATTTCTTTAATGAAAAACTGTTCCCATATTGTAGAACTAAATTATTGTTTCATGTTGTTGAATTTATTTGCTTTTTCAGTAGATTTTAATTTGAACAATACATTTTTGAGCCAAATAAGGGCTTAAAATATCTTGCTCAAACCAAAAATTGAAAATTTCATTTAACAATCGGAAATACTAGTGAATAGTTTTCTGTCAACTGTCACATACTTCTTAAAATTAATTAAAATATCTTGCATGAATCAAAAACTAAAAATTGCATTTGACAAGTTTTCATTTAACTATTAAATATAAAATACTAATAGAAAAAGCAAGCAAACAATTTGCTAAAAACGTGTTTTATGATGTGTAAATGATTTTAAGAGTGCACATTAAATATAAAATCTTATTTACTTAAAAAAAATTAATATTTACTTATTTAAGTATTAAAAACTTTATATATTTTATGCCATTGAAATTTGATTAAAATATCAGCACTCATCAACAAGTATCACAAATTGTAAAGTCTTACATATTGTAAATAGTACTATAATTTTTTTTTTTTGGAAACTGTAAATATATATCAAGAATTATTTTGCTAAAAAAATATTTGCTCAAAGAAATGATTCATAATTTGCTATGTTTTTAAACTCATAGTTAATTGATTTATTAAGAAATTAAACATTGAAGCATTGTCTTATGGTGAAGACAAATTACCCAACTTTGAGGTACCCTTGTTATACCTTATATTTCTATTTTATTTGTTTTTACATATGTACCAGATTAATTTTGTTACACTATTTGATTTTTTTTAATGTTAAGTAATTTATTATTTAATTATTGAATAATGTAGCTGCTTTCAGTTCATGTACTGTTGAACTTCATATTTATTTAATATTATAAACGTATCACAGTGAATTTATTTATTTACGAACAAAGTAATTTATAGTTTAAAGCATAGTTCTCTTTAATGTTGTTCAAACATATATTAGACCAAATTGTTAGTTAATTTCAATTTTATGTTAGATTTTGATAGTAGATTTGTCATGAAGTTTTTTTCCTTACATTTATATATTACTACAGATATCGCAACATCTTTTTCATGGTGGACACATGCCAAGCAGCCTCAATGTTTGCACTTTTTTACTCACCTAATATATTAGCTGTTGCAAGTAGCAAAGTTGGAGAAGATTCCCTTTCTGTAAGTACTACAGTTAATATTAAGTTATTGTTCTGTAATATTTTGTTTTCTTAACTTCTATGGGATCAATTCTTAAAACACAAATTTCAAAATTTCATTTTTTAAGATGTAAACATTTTTTTTCTTTCATTTTTGTTTTACTTGATTGTCTTATTTATTTGATTGCTTTTTACAGCATTGTCTCTCAAATCTGAAAAAAACTTCCCTGTGCACATTATACACAATCAGGGGTCTGTCCAGGCCAAATTTTCTACCATTTAGCGGTACCTTCCCAAATAAAACTTTAGGAAAATTCTTAAAATTTTATTTTTTGTATCCCGCAAAAAAGGATAAATCCTTATTTTTACCATATTTTTGAGTTGATTTTTTAATATAATTTTTAATTTTCACAAATTATGTTTAAATTTTCACAAAATAGGTATCTTTCAAAGAAACCTAGACAGACCACTGACAATATATTAAGAGAAAAAACTATTACTGTGCTCCTGTGTTAGCTATTTTGGGCTAACTATAACTTTATATATTAGGCTAACTTTTAATTGCTGGAAAAACTGCTGAACATACTTATAATGCCATAGTGAAATAATTTAGTATAGCTGAAATATCCTTAAATGTCCCTTAGATTGCACTTCGAATAATCATCATTTTTCTGAAGATTAAAGTAAGGAACATAATTCACTGTATTATCCCAGTTTGTAACGGAGATTTTTTTAAATTTCCCTGTATTTTCCAGGTTTTCCCAATTCTTCCTGTGGAGGGGCAACCCTATTTTAGATTTATTTGATTTTTTAAAAATTTATTTTTATTTTTTAGCATCATGGGGATCCAACAATTGGTGTGTATGTCATTGATAGATACACTTATTATGCTTTGGAATTCTTAGAAAAAGTCCAAAAAGGTAGCACAAAGACTATTGGGCAGTTTGTAAGTATTTTATGTTTGTATTTATGTTGCAATTTAATATTTTATTGATCAAAAATTAAATTTTGTATTGTAATATTAATTTTGTAATGTAATAATTGTGCATGGTGAACAGTATGCAGTTTTTTTTCAATTTATCTGATAAGAACAAAACATCTTTAAATGAATAATATATTTTCTGAAATTCTTTTCAAACTTGTGTTAGAGTAGTTCCATATGAGGTTGATAAATATAATCCTTCTATTGTTCAATAACAGAATTTTTTGTTGCCTAAAATAATTTAAATTCTTATTTTATTAAGATACTTTTTTATAATTTTTTTTAAGATGGTAAGATTGTCAAAAATGTTATTTATAATCTCTTTTTCTATGTGGATATGATTTTTTGTATAATCAGTCAAACATATCTATATATAATGAAAAAGATACAAACTGTAAATTTTTGTAATAATTAGAAATATAATTTTTTTTTATAATTTCTTATTATAATAACATATAATAAGAAATTTTAAATTTTTTTATTATATGTTATTATAATAAGAAGTATAGTTTTTATAATTTCTTGTAATAACTGTATATTAGAAATATTAATTTAAGCATCTGTATTTAATGTATTAATATTATTTACATAAACACATTACACAATAAATATTTTAGGACATAAATTTTTTTAAATTTAAATTGATATTATTTTTTCAAATCTTAAGGCATGGTAACTGTATATATCATAAATAATAAACTTATCATGTCACAACACATTAAGGAATTGGTTTTTAAAAATTTTATAACTTACTGCATCAAGTAGTTCAATAATAAAATTATTCTTTTTAAAATCATTACCTTGTGTTCATTTACCAATAATAAATGGAAAACTTGAATTATAACAGATATTGATTAAACAATTGGGGAGATAAAAAAAGAACTGAATTTAAGAAAAGATAAATGGAAATGAAATAAGTGGGGAATATCATGCAGTACTGCAATTTTCCTTTTTGTAATGATTATGAAAAAAAAAACAAAGAAAAAAACACCAGTTTAATTTATTTTTGTATTATACATATTAGTTATTGTATGTTTTTATTTATTTTTATATAATATTTCACAGCTCCAAGTTTGTCCAAAAAGAGTGTGCATTTCCACAGTAACTTCCAGGAAAGATTTATTTCCTGCTTCTCCTGATAAGGTTCTATTGACAGATTTCTTTGGTAGTGTCCGAAATGTGGAGTTAACTAAAAACCTGGTGGATCTCTGGCCTATGCCTAACAATACAGCTTATTCTCAAAAGTAAATTTTTATTGATTATAAATTTGACCTACTTGAATTTGTAAGATTTGTTAAACCTGACCATTTTAGGAGGTTTAGCCCGAAAACTTTTAATTCAAATTAACCTAAGATTGATAGAATATTTTTGAGACCAATCCCTTTCAAGGTGTGGTGCATCCGTTTAAAGTTTGTTATAAAAATATATAAAGCCGAAATTTGTTTACATGTAATACATAGTTGTGATCATGTATTTTCAGATAAAATATCTAAACTGTTTTAAACTTTACCTAATTATTTTTTATATTTAATGACTGAATGAACAAGTTTTTATGGAAAAGAAAGTTTAAAAGTAAAAAGAAAGTATGTAGAAGTTTTTGAAGGAACCCGAAAACTTTTTCTAGCCAATAAGCCTGTCTCTCTGGAACTGGTACTCCGCATGTTTCATGTCTATTGTGTATTTATTATAAGAACCAATCCAATTTGTTAGGGTCCTGTTTTTATATTTTGTGCAAAAATAGTTTAGAAATTAGTGAAAACTATTCATCAAATTATGGGGTACTATTTCTATAAAACTTATAATTTTATGAATAACGAGGGAACATAAAAAAATATTTTTAAAAATAAAAAAGATTTAAGCTATTATTCTTACCTATATTATCCATATTTATTTACCACACTGCAATTGTTTGTCTCATTTGTCTGTTGTTGCCCTCGAGGGAAATTGCATGAAATTCTTGTGGATCGTTAAAGTGTGTTATCGATAATTCACTTAAAAGTGCTAATTTTCCTGCTCATAAAATTTACTTTTTTAATTTTTTGAGTTGCAAGAGTACAAAGAAAACGAAATATTTGTTACATGTTTTATAAGAATAGGTAATTGTACTGGGAAATTTTACAAATTTCTCACAAGTAAACTCATTTTTTTTTTGTTCTTTTATAGTTCCTTATAATGTTTTTCTAGTGATTTGTATTATTTAAATTGCTACATTTCTGATTGCTAGAAGAATTAATCATAGTAAAATAGAGTAATAATCTGATAAATGTATATTTATTTTTCAGAAAAATAGTAACTCCAGAACCTCACAAATGGACTTATGTAAAACAATTTTCAGTGGAATGATCTAGTTATTCACACGTAATTTATTATTTTTATCCATTGTATATATTTCAATAATAACACAGTCAAACTCTGCTATAATGACTCCAATATAAAGTGAAACTCAGTTGTAATAAATGTTTTTAGTCTAAACTGATATTTAACTTAAGTTATTTATGTAATGAATGTTTTTAGTTTAATTGTTATGGTAAATAGCTATGAAATTAGTAGTTAAAAATTTTCTTTTTGCAGGTATTTAAATAAACATTTAAAAAATGTTTAGCTTATGCGATAATTTAAAACGTCATAGTTTTACAACTCGTAAGTTAATTAAGGATTTTAATTAAAAATGAAGTAATACATATTATAGATAAATATTTAAAACCGAGTCATTTTGTTATAATGATTAAAGAAGTGCAATTTTCTTCAAGTATGATGAAAATTAAAATAATAAACATCTAAAAAATTCCAAAATTTGGATAGATATTCTAAAAAAACCAGTTATAGAGACACAACTGCCTTGTTATAAAGAGAATATTTTAATTCTTATTTTACATTCCAATTGAAATTTAAAGAAATTCGCTATTAGGAAACTTAAAAAAACTTGATAAAGCTAAATAATTATTATTTTTAACCATACGACAGCATCTAGCTATTTATTTAAAGGTTTTGGATGTAGTGAACAATTGTTAATAGTGGACTTATTAATGGGATCCCATTATAATGGGGTTCGATTGTATTTAGAAGTCAATTAATAATAATAGGAAAGAAAAATTATGACTTGGAAATAGTTATTTTAAATTATTACTGAACGTTTTTTGGACCAACTTAATTTTATATTGTGTACAAACTTTGTGTTAATGTTATTATCGATACAATATAAAAAATTGAGCATGGTAGTTACTTTCAAAAACAAAGTTTAACCCAATATTTAAATTTTTTTATGTGCTATTTATAAGTAATGCATTATCGTGAATGAGTTTTTTGTACAAAGAAAAGACAATAGCATGCAATTTAGTTTTATTACTTGTTATAAATACAATTAAACAACATTAAACTATATTTTTACGAATATATATTTAAACATCATAAAGAATTAAGCAGGGTAGTTATTTTCAAATGCATTTACATTTGATTATTGACAATTCCTTTGTATCTCTTTGCAATAATTTATAAGCAATTGTGGAGTTAGACTCTTATTTTAGGTCATAATTAGGACATAGTCTTAATTTGTGAAAATCTGGTTAGTGGGGATTAAGTTATTCAGGGTGTTCCTCTTTTTTGTGCAGTGTACATATAATTTTCTTTTTAAATATCACTTGCTTAATTTCAACTTTTCTTAAATATATCCATATTTGATACCTATATTTATATTAAACACAAATCATTCAGGTATCAATAGGGCAGATTTCTTGGACGCTATTTCAGGGTACCATATTAGGTGGGCCAACCTTGCTCCCACAGTAAGGAGAGAGAATGTAAGAACATCTATGCCCTGTCCGGGATTCAAGCCCAGGACCTTTCTTATGCGAGGTCAGCTCCCTGATCCCTACACAGTCTGGTCAGCACACTGATTATTATAAATACAAGTGTTTTTTTATAAATATTTTTAATTGTAAAGAAACATTTGGAGGCTTAATAGTTAAAGTGACAGCATTGAGTGTTTTTAATCGAACTGTAAACATTAAAAATTGTTTATTTATCATTGAAATAAATCAGCTTTAATAAATATATAAAAACAAGAAAAAAATAGACAAATTATTAAACTTTTTCTAAAGGCAAACATATCTTTGTCAATTTAAAAATAAAAGATTTTCTAATTACTATAAATTGTTTCTTCAATATTTATCCATACACCTTTTACTTGAATTAGCAAGGTCTCATACTTACACCTGAATACGTCTGGCAACCGTTCATGCCAATTTAAGTATAAGCATGTGTCTAACTTAAAAAAAGTTTCGAAATACATTCCTTAGGCTGATTTGTATCAAAGTCCTACGAGAGATTTTCTGTTTATGTGAAATCAAAGTATACATCAACAAACGTATTACTACTAGAATGATCACAAAAAAAAGAATTTTTGATTAACATTATTTTTAAAGTAAAATTTCTGTGAAGAGTTTAATTGTTTTGATAACAAGTTGAGTTTTTAATGGAGAAGTAAGTAAAATAGTTAACACATTCTAGGTTTTATATGGCGCATAATGAAATTTAAATATTGTTAAAATTTGTTATATATACCGACCTAAAATGTTTTTCGAAATATCCCATGGCTGAGGTTTTATTTATTTTTCAACATTTATGCAAAATTCAAGTGTTTTTGTATGATTATTCAATTAAAAGAAGTAAGATTTTGGTGGGAAAAAAAAGAGAATTAGTTTATTTGTATTTTGTGAAGATATTTTTTTAATACATATTCAAAATGTTATTTATCGATAATTAATTGCATTGATATTCTCCATGAAATATTCAAAATTTTACGGATACTGATGTTTTAGTAAAAACTTTCATTAAAAAAATAAATTTGAAAGTAAGCAGTTTGAGTTCAATGCAATTTCTATGTGTATTTTGTAAATATAATTTTTTTAATGATGGCAATATAAATATGTATCTTTCAAGTTGCTTGTTGAAATAAATATGTAAAAAAGGAGGAACGTTTTTATTTTAAAGCATCAGATAAGCTTTATTGAGAGGTAAGTTCCAATAGAATTTTCTCACTTAATAGCATCAAAATCAGTTTAAACTGTCATAAACCTAAGAATCAGTTAATCATATTGCATGTTAAGTTATTTCTAGTATTTTATTGAATATATCATAAACAATAATTATATTAAATATGTTTTCGATATAGAATCAGTAANCACGTAATTTATTATTTTTTTATAATTTTTATCCATTGTATATATTTCAATCATAATACAGTCAAACTCTTCTATAATGACCCCAATATAAAGTGAAACTCAGTTGTAGTAAATGTTTTTAGTCTAAACTGATATTTAACTTAAGTTATTTATGTAATGAATGTTTTTAGTTTAATTGTTATGGTAAATAGCTATGAAATTAGTAGTTAAAAATTTTCTTTTTGCAGGTATTTAAATAAACATTTAAAAAATGTTTAGCTTATGCGATAATTTAAAACGTCATAGTTTTACAACTCGTAAGTTAATTAAGGATTTTAATTAAAAATGAAGTAATACATATTATAGATAAATATTTAAAACAGAGTCATTTTGTTATAATGACTAAAGTGCAATTTTCTTCAAGTATGATGAAAATTAAAATAATAAACATCTAAAAAATTCCAAAATTTGGATAGATATTCTAAAAAACCCGTTATAGAGACACAAAAACTTTGAATATTTTAATTCTTATATTACAGAGAATATTTTAATTCTTATTTTACATTCCAATTGAAATTTAAAGAAATTGAATTTTTATTAAAAGAAATTCGCTGTTAGGAAATTTAAAAAACTTGATAAAGCTAAATAATTATTACTTTTAACCATACGACAGCATCTAGCTATTTATTTAAAGGTTTTGGATGTTGTGAACAATTGTTTATAGTGGACTTATTAATGGGATAACATTATAGTGGGGTTCGATTGTATTTAGAAGTCAATTAATAATAATAGGAAAGAAAAATTATGACTTGAAAATAGTTATTTTAAATTAATATTACTGAACTTTTTTTAGACCAACTTAATTTTATATTGTGTACAAATTTTGTGTTAATGTTATTATCGATATAATATAAAAAACTGAGCATGCTAGTTTCTTTCAAACTGCAAAGTTTAACCCAATATTTAAATTTTTTTATGTGCAGTTCTTTGCTATTTATAAGTAATGCATAATCGTGAATGAGTTTTTTGTACAAAGAAAAGAATGGCATGTAATTTAGTTTTATTATTTGTTATAACTATATTAAACAACAATATTAAACTATATTTTTACGAATACATATTTAAACATCATAAAGAATTAAACAGGTTAGTTATTTTCAAATGTATTTACATTTGATTATTGACAATTCCTTTGTATCTCTTTGCAACAATTTACAAGTAATCGTGGAGCGAGACCCTTATTTTAGATCAGAATTAAGATAGTCTTAATTTGTGAAAATCTGGTTAGTGGGGATTAAGTTATTCACTGTGTTCCTCTTTTTTGTGCAGTGTACATAAATTTTCTTTTTAAATATTACTTGGTTAAATTCAACTTTTCTTAAATATATCCATTTTTGATACCTATATTTATATTAAACACAGATTATTTTTTTCCAATACACATCACTCACCATTCAGGTATCAGTAGGGCAGATTTCTTGGACGCTCTTTTAGGGCACCATATTAGGTGAGCCAACCTTGCTCCCACAGTAAGGACAGAGAATGTAAGAACATCTATGCCTTGTCCGGGATTTAAGCCCAGGACCTTTCTTATAAGAGTTCAGCACACTGATTATCATAGATACAAGTATTTGGCAGTGTTTTTTTATAAATATTTTTAATTGTAAACATTTGGAGGTTTAATAGTTAAAGTGACAGCATTGAATGTTTTTAACCGAACTGTGAACATTAAAAATTGTTTATTTATCATTGAAATGAAACTAGAATAAATCAGTTTTAAAAGATAGACAAATTATTAAACTTTTTCTAAAAGCAAACATATCTTTGTTAATTTAAAAATAAAATATTTTCTAATTACTATAAATTGTTTCTTCAATATTAATCCACACACCTCTTACTTGATTTAGCAAGGTCTCATACTTACACCTGAATACGTCAGGCAACCATTCATGCTAATTTATAAGCATGTGTCTAATTTATAAGCATGTTTCGATATACATTCCTTAGACTGATTTGCATCCAAGTCCTATGAGGGATTTTCTGTTTATGTGAAATCAAAACGTATTACAACTAGAATGTTCAAATAAAAGAATTTTTGATTAACATTATTTTTAAAGTAAAATTTCAGAAAATGGTTTAATTGTTTTCATAACAAGTTGAGTTTTTAATGGAGAAGTAAGTAACATAGTTAACACATTCTAGGTTTTATATGGCACATAATGAAATTTAAATATTGTTACAATTTGTTATATATACCGACATAAAATGTTTTTTGAAATATCCCACAGCTGAAGTTTTATTTATTTTTCAACATTTATGCAAAATGCAAGTGTTTTTGTATGACTTTTCAATTATGAGAAGTAAGATTTTGGTAAAAAAAAAAAGAATTAGTTTATTTGTATTATTTTGTAAAGACATTTTTTAATACATATTCAAAATGTTATTTATTTATCGATAATTAATTTATTGATATTCTCCATGAAATTGAAATATTCAAAAGTATGAACTGAATACTGACTTTCTTTAAAAACACTTAACTAAGAAAAACTAAATTTGAAAGTAAGCAGTTTGAGTTCAATGCAATTTCTATGAGACTAATGATTTAATTTCATGTCTATTGTTAACAATTTTAAAGTGTTGCATATTTTGTAAATATAATTTTTTGTAATGATGGCAACATGAATAATCGAATATGTATGTTTTAAGTTGCTTTTGACATATTTTGTTGAAATAAATATGTAAAAAAGGAACGATTTTATTTTAAATACTGACTTTTTAGTGCACCAGATAAGTTTTTTAGCTTTATTGAGAGGTACGTTACAATAGAATTTTCTCATCAGTCTTTAGTTTCTGACGTAACATAAAAATCTGGTTAAAACAGTTAGAAACCTAGGAGTCAGTTAATCATATTGCATGTTAAGTTATTTCTAGTATTTTAATGAATAAATATAAGCTAATATATCATAAACAATAATTGTATTAAATATGTTTTTGATATGGCATCAGTAAGATTTTACCTTTCAATTGATTTGATGTAAAAGGGCACGTTTAATAATTATTTAACAGTTGAAAAAAAGATTTGTTAGTCAGACAATTTCTAGTCTTTAAGTAAAATTGTTTAACCCGAGCAAGTACCACTAAAAAGATAATAACGGGAAAACCAGTTTTCTGGGCAGGTAAAGCTTACAATTAGAATCTTTGAAGTTGTGTTTGCATTGTTTTCCTGCTTAAAATTACACATAACAATTTAATATTAATATGAAATAACTCAAGAAAAACAATTTATTTATAATTTAATTCTATAATACAAAACAAATGTTATTATATGTACAGTTTCAGCAAAATTTACAAAGCAGTGAGAGCCAAGAAAATTTTTTGAAGGAATGGATAATAACAAGATGAGAAATGAGGAAAAAAAGGACCATAAGTTATTAAACTACTTAAACACCAAGAACACTTAGTTTCAACAATTAAACAAACAAAAAATGCAAATAAATTAGTTAGTAGAGTTTGATGACCAGGTGCTCATATTCTCAGTGCAACCAACTAATTCGAGAAATCCCATTCGAGCTTTAGTTTCCATAAGAAAAATATTTTCATGACTTGTAGTGAATTCATCAACCCTAAAAATAAAATACAAATTACCATTAAAAGTTTAAAAATGGAATTGAACAGTGGTCTTCATAACTTTTTAATGACTGTTTAAATAATTTTTTTAGAATGGAAATGAATTAACCTCAAACATGCTCGCCATCTTGTTTGTCTTGCTGTGCTACTAGTAAATTGCTATAGGGTAGGGGTAAGGGGGCAAATTAGACATCTTAAATAACTTTATTGGTATAATTTCTTCTTTGAGATATGGTTCGGCAACACTGATACACTTCCGAGTGCAGCTACATAATCACATATGTGAATACCACAATAGAAATTTGTAAAAAGACATTGATTTTTAAGGTGCAAAAGTAACTTTCAACTCTTTTATTGACATATTATACAGTTTCTTACCTACTTAGATAATTTTTGAAGCTGTATAGTTTCAATTAACCAGGATTAGGTAAGTTGATTTTAAGTTTTTATTTCCTTTTAAAATGTTTATAGTATTTTAATTTTTAGAATTAGACCTTTTTTATTTTTAAATTTTACTTGTCATATTTGTTCCATTCATTTTGCAATGTTTAAATTGTTTGGTCATTGTTAAATTATTTGCATACTAACTACTGTTGGATATAGACCACCACTGGTCAATGCATATATGTTGATTATTTTGACTTCAGTTTAAATTGTCTGGATGGAAAACATGCTCAATTTGTTTTATTTAAATCTGAGGTCTGAAAAGGCCCTAAGTGACATTCATAAAAATGTATAAGTTTCTCATGGAGAGATATTAGTGAAAATTTTTGTAAACACTTTTTGCCTTAAATTTCGCATTTTAGTCACAATTTCCCATGCCAAAAGTTATTAAACACCTCTAAACTTTTGAATTTCTCTCTCTTTCTTCTCAAATGGATTTTTCTTCTTCAAATTAATTCCTTTATTTTAATGATATTTAATATTAGTAAACAAACTATATAAAAATTGCTATTTTGACCTAAATAGGGTCTTTAATTGATTTTAAAAAAAAAAAAAAAATCTAGGTTTGCATAATATTTTAAAAAATATGTAGTACACTATCTACCTATGCAAATGACCATATCTGCGGTACTGAGATATGTCACGCCCGCCGCCGGTATATATCATGTAGGGAACAACATCAGCATTAGTCCTATGCAAGATGCCATGCAAATCGGAGCTCTCTGATTTCGTAAAAGGTATAATTGTCGGGTATCACAAAAATGGCCGATCCTTGAGGGACACATCCAACGAGCTGAATTACCCAAAATCGACAGTGGCTTATGTGATTAAGTGGAAGGTGAGCAGTGAGTGTCCCGAGTCGGAAGATCAACAAAACAGAGACCGACGGGTGTTGTCCAGAGAAATTTGGAACTGCACCCAACTGATGGCCCACATACTCCAGGAGTTTCAACAGGCATTCTGGAGTGTTGTTTCAATTAATACCATCCGTAAAAAAGGACATCTGCTTGGTTTTCATGGTCGTGCTGCTGCTCATAAGCCTTTGATCACATAGTCCAACTGCACTGCTTGATTAATGTGGTGCAAAGTACATCGAAATTGGACCGTAGATAAGTGGAAAGCGGTTCTTTGGAGCGCCAAATCAAGGTTCACCCTCTACCGTTCGGATGGCAGAGTCTGGTGTATGACTGGAGAACGTCTCCTGCCAGAATGCATTGTGCCAACAGTCAAGCTCGGTGGACGTGTTTCTACTGGTATGGATTGGGACCCTTGGTCCCCATTCATGGTAAGCTCAACGCCGATGCCTACTGCACTATTTTGGATGACAATGTGCTTCCTGCGTTGTGGCAGTTATATGGGGTGGACCCCGTTACTTCCAGGACGACAATGCCAGCTATCACGTTGCGAGGGTCACCAAGGCTTGGTATGGTGCCAATGCGGTTAATCGAATGGACTGGCCTGCCCAGACCTGAACCGTAGAGAACTTCTGGGATGAGTCGGGTCGCCGAATTAAGGGGTGTACTACTCGCCCAAAATCGATTAAGGATCTTACACGTCTTCTCCAAGCCGAGTGGAAGAAAATACCACTATCCTTGTAGCTCCGGAGGGTTCACGCTGTAATTGCCTCTCGTGGAGGCTCTACCTACTATTGATTATAAATAAAGTTTGTTTTTCTTTTCAATCATAACATAGTAATCTATCTTGTAACTAATCTTGTTCATAGCAACTGGTATATTTATCTTCTATTCTTAAATTTTGGGTTAAAATTAATTTCATATGAGAGAGGGAGGTTTGTGTGGATATTTTTTAATCACTTAAAAATAATAACTCCTGAGATTTTTTTAAACAATAATTTAGTCATTTACCTGCATTTTGGTTTATACCTGGAATTACACTTGTTTCATTTCTGCTCAATTTTTTTTAAAGCTTGTTTTCGTTCACATTATTTACACTTAATACAAGGTGGAGACGACAAATTTGATAAGTGGTCGTTTGTTACAACTCAGAGAGGCGTATCTAAAAACAATGAAATTAATTTCAATCCAACTCTTATTGGAGAACAAATATATACAAATTTGAGTTAGAACTATTAATTTGCAATAGAGTATTTCACTATATTGAGAAAGACAAACTGTGCATAAATCAGTGCATTTGAAAACCATTATTCGATTTGACTTCCTTGAAAGCACAGAACCAATTTCAATAATTATAGTCTTATTTTGATGATAAAACGGATAGACGGAATGGACAATGCTGGAAAAATGTAACCAGAGCTTCAGTGGTTTAATGTAAACAAGTCACAAAAAAGACAGGACTATTTACTGATGTTCTATTTTAGATTAATGTAGGGTAAAAAATATTTATTAAAAACAATGTTTACTTCTTTATATCATCTTTTAATAACTTTTGAATTTTCTTAAAACCTTTAAAAAATTAATTAATAATGAACTTTTTACAGGTTTTAAGAAAATTTAAAGTAAATATTAAAAGATGAACCAAAGAAATAAATATTTCTTTTTTTGCCTAATATTAAACTAAAATAGAATGACAATGAAAGTTCAGTCTTTTTTTTTCTTCCCTTTGTTTGCATTACTCCAGTGAAGCACTAGTAACATTTTTCCAGCTCTGTCCATTATGACCATGTTATTAAATTTGATTAAACTTAAAATTGATTCAGTGCTTTCAAATAAATCAGATTTAATAATGGTTCTCAAAGGTACTGATTTGTGTTCAAAATGTCTTTCTCAATATAGTGAAAAGTTCTATTAAAAATTAGTATTTTAACTCAAATTTGTCAAAATTCATTCACTAATAAGGCTTAGATTGAAATTTCAAATTCATTTTGGCTTTAAATATACCTATCTGAGTTATAATAAACAAACACATAATTCGTTATCAAATTTGCTCACACTAGCCCTACTAGATGGAGCATGAACAAAAACAACTTTTTAAAAAAAAAATTGTGGAAAAACTAAACAGGTTTAATTCTTGATACAAATCAAACTACAGTAAAATATCCAAATTATTTGATAATAAAAATTTAAGATATTGTAGAATTCAATAACTTAATATCTCCCCTCGAGAAATCTTAAAATTTATGTAAAATGTCACTTAGGGACTGTCCTTTGCAGACTGAACACCTCAAAATTAAATCTAACAAATTAAGCATTTTTCCAGCAGTCAAAATATATGCATTAACCAGTCGTGGTCAATATGCAAATAGTTAAATAATGATCAAAACATTGAATGGCAAAATAAAAGGAACAAATATGGTGCCAATTAAAAAAAAAATTCTAAAAATTAAAATACAGTCAAACCCCGCTATAGTGAACCTTCAAGGGACCGAAATTTCGGTTCACTATAACCGGGAGTTCACTATATCCGTTACGCAGGCAATTTAACTAATGGTTCCCAAACTCCTCCCTTTTATTACACATTAATCAAATAAATGAAAATATTATGTAGTGGCAAAAAATATGTTATTTTTCATTACTCTTCGTCTTGCGTACAAAAAAAATTAGTAATCTTTAGCTGATGAGCAATCCTCAACATCAGATATGGAAACACTTCCCGATTCTCATATAATTTTTCCCGAATTTCTTGCTTTTTAAACCTGTCTAACCTGCCATTCGAGCACATAAAAGTAGTNCTTTGTTTCAACAATTAAACAAACAAAAAATGCAAATAAATTAGTTAGTAGAGTTTGATGACCAGGTGCTCATATTCTCAGTGCAACCAACTAATTCGAGAAATCCCATTCGAGCTTTAGTTTCCATAAGAAAAATATTTTCATGACTTGTAGTGAATTCATCAACCCTAAAAATAAAATACAAATTACCATTAAAAGTTCTAAAATGGAATTGAACAGTGGTCTTCATAAGTTTTTAATGACTGTTTAAATAATTTTTTTAGAATGGAAATGAGATATTTAATAAGAATGAATTAATCTCAAACATGCTCGCCAACTTGTTAGTCTTGCTGTGATGCTAGTACATTGCTATAGGGTAGTGGTGAGGGGGTAAATTAGACATCTTAAATAACTTTATGTGTAAAATTTCCTCTTTGAGATATGGTTCGGCAACACTGATACACTTCCGAGTGCAGCTGCATAATCACATATGTGAATACCACAATAGAAATTTGTAAAAAGACATTGATAGTGCAAAAGTAACTTTCAACTCTTTTATTGACATATTATAAATTATACAGTTTCTTACCTACTTTGATAATTTTTGCAGCTGTATAGTTTCAATTAACCAGAATTAGGTAAGTTGATTTTAAGTTTTCATTTCCTTGTGTTTATAATATTTTAATTTTTAGAATTAGATCTTTTTTATTTTTAAATTTTACTTGTCATATTTGTACCTTTCATTTTGCCATGCAATGTTTAAATTGTTTGGTCATTGTTAAACTATTTGCATACTAACTACTGTTGGATATAGACCACCACTGGTCAATGCATATATGTTGATTATTTTGACTTCAGTTTAAATTGTCTGGATGGAAAACATGCTCAATTTGTTTTATTTAAATCTGAGGGCTGCCAAGTCCCTAAGTGACACGCGTAAAAATGTATAGATTTCTCATGGAGAGATAACACCTCTAAATTTTTGAATTTCTCTTTTTTTTCCTTCTTCTCAAATGAAACAATGCTTCTAAATGGATTTTTTTCAAATTAATTCCTTTACTTAAATGATATTTAATATTAGTAAACAAAACTGTATAAAAATTGCTATTTTGACCTAAATAGGGTCTTTAATTGATTTTTTAAAAAAAAATCTAGATTTGCATAATATTTAAAAAAATATGTAGTACACTATCTACCAATAAGTATTTGGACACCAATACAAATGACTATATCTGCGGCTGAGATACATAACTCTTTCCGCCGGTATATACCGTGTAGGGAACAACATCAGCATTAGTCCTATGCAAGATGCCACGTAGTTCGGAGCTCTCTGACTTCGAAAAAGGTATAATTGTCGGGTATCACAAAAATGGCCGATCCTTAAGGGACATATCTAGTAAGCTGAATTACCCAAAATCGACAGTGGCTTATGTGATTAAGAAGTGGAAGGTGTGCGGTGAGTGTCCCGAGTACGAAGACCAACGTAACTGGGAGATAGAGACCGATAGGTGTTGTCCAGAGAAAGTCGGAACAACTGCACCCAGCTGATGTCCCACATACTCCAAGAGTTTCAACAGGCATCCTGGAGTGTTGTTTCAATTAATACCATTCGTAAGGAAGGACATCTGCTTGGTTATCATGGTCGTGCTGCTGCCCATAAGCCTTTGATCACGAAGTCCAACCACACTGCTCGGTTAATGTGGTGCAAAGCACATAAAAATTGGACCGACAAATCAAGGTTCACCTTCTACCATTCGGATGGCAGAGTCTGGCGTATGACTGGATAACGTCTCCAGCCAGAATGCATTGTGCCAACAGTCAAGCTCGGTGGAGGTGGAATTATGGTCTGGGGGGGTGTTTCTACTGGTATAGATTGGGACCCTTGGTCCCCATTCATGGTAAGCTCAACGCTGACTGCACTGTTTTGCATGACAATGTTCTTCCTACGTTGTGGCAGTTTTACGGATCCCATCCAAATCGGTGAAGCAACTTACGTCTTCTCCAAGCCGAGTGGAAGAAAATACCACTAACCTTCATACAAGGACTAGTGGAAAATATGTTCCGGAGAGTTCACGCTGTAATTGCCTCTCGTGGAGGCTCAACCTATTATTGATTATAAATAATGTTTGTTTTTCTTTTCAATCACATGTGTCCAAATATTTATTGGTAGATAGTGTAGTAACTGGTATATTTTTCCATTAATGTAAATTACTAGTATTCATAAATTTTGGGTTCACATTGAATTTCATATAAGAGAGAGGGAAGTTCATGAGGATATTTTTTAAACATTTAAAAATAATAACTCCTGAGATTTTTTTTTAAACAATAATTTGGTCCCTTACCTGCATTTGGTTTTACCTGGAATTACACTTGTTTCAGATCTGCTCAATTTTTTTTAAAGCTTGTTTTTGTTCACACTATTTACACTTTATACAAGGTAGTGTCGACAAATTTGATAAGTTATTAAGTGGTCGTTTGTTACAACTCAGAAAGGCGTATCTAAAAACAATGAAATTAATTTCAATCCAAGTCTTATTGGAGAACAAATATAGACATATTTGAGTTAAAACTATTAATTTGTAATTGAGCATTTCACTATATTGAGAAAGACATTCTGTGCATAAATCAGTACATTTGAAAATCATTATTCAATTTGATTTATTTGAAAGCACAGAACCAATTTCAATAATTATAGTCTTATTTTGATGATGAAACGGTCAGAATGGACAATGCTGGAAAAATTTTACCAAAGCTCCACTGGATTAATGTAAACAAGTCACAAAAAAGACTGATGCTCTATTTTAGACTAATGTATGGTAAAAAATAAATATTTATTAAAAACAATGTTTACTTCTTTAAACCCTTAAAAAATGAATTGATACGAAGATTTTGTGGTAAATTTTTTCATTGAGATACAAGTCACTATTTCTAAGGAATATCATTCTAATTACGAAAATAAATGATATCAAGTGTGTTAAATTCCTATCGCTTCCATCGGATGTTGAATGCGGCTGTTTAGACAACTTCCATTGGAAAAAACATGAATCGGTTACAAATTTAACACATTTGATGTCATTCATTTTCTTAATTAGATATGATATACTTTACAAATGGTGATTTCAATCTGAAAAATTTACCATAAAACTTTTGTATTAATGAATTTTTTACAGGTTTTAAGAAAATTTAAAATACATATTAAAAGATATAAACATAGTTTTTAATAAATATTTCTTTTTATTTTTTTGCCTAACATTAAACTAAAATAGAATGACAATGACAGTCCAGTCTTTTTTTTTCTTCCCTTTGTTTACATTACTCCACCGAAGCACTAGTAACATTATTCCAGCGCTGTCCATTATGACCATTTTATCAAATTAAAATTGATTAAACTTAAAATTGGCGCAGTGTTTTCAAATAAATCAGATTTAATAACAGTTCTCAAAGGTACTGATTTGCGTTCAAAATGTCTTTCTCAATATAGTGAAAAACTCTATTAAAAATTAGTATTTTAACTCAAATTTGTCAGTATTCATTCACTAATAAGACTTAGATTGAAATTTCAAATTCATTTTGGCTTTAGATATACCTATCTGAGTTATAATAAACAATCACATAATTTGTTATCAAATTTGCTCACACTAGCCCTACTACATGGTGCATGAACAAAAACAACTTTAAAAAAATTTTTTGGAAAAAGTAAACAAGTTTAAAATTCTAGATACAAAGCCAAACTGCAGTAAAATGTCCAGATTACTGTTAATATAGCGGAAAGGAGGCTAGTGTATTATTATAAGTTCAATTTGCATATATGAATTAGTAATGGAGTATAAATAGTAATTTACAACTATGTAGGAAATATACGAGCTATTATTAGATATCTAAAAGACATGTAATAATATTGTTAATATGAATATAAATGAATGTGATGATGTATATAGATTGATGATTATATATTGATTGATGAATATTGTTAATATAAAGAGCTTGAAAATATAAAATCTCCAGATAAAAAAAGAAAATATCAATCGAAAACCCAATTCATATTCGAATGGCAATTTTTGTATAAATTCTTTTATTAATATTAAATATCATTAAAGGAAGGGATAACTTTAAAAAAAATTAAAATTTTTATTAATAATTTTTGGCATCTTGAATTACAATACAAAATTTTAGGGGCAAAAAGTATTTACTGGAATGTTTACTAATTGCAAATACATTTGATAATAAAAATTCAAGATATTGTACTATTCAATATCTACCCTCGAGAAGTCTTAAACTGTCACTTAGGGATTGACTTTTGCAGACTTAACACCTCAAAATTAAATCGAACAAATTAAGCATTTTTTCAGCAGTCAAAATATATGCATTAACCAGTCGTGGTCACTATGCAAATGGTTAAACAATGATCAAAACATTGAATGGCAAAATAAAAGGAACAAATATGGTGCAAATTAAAAAAATTCTAAAAATTAAAATATTAACATTTAAAAAAACAGGAAATGAAAACTTATAAAAAAGGAGAAGGATTTTTCATGTTGTGATTATATAAATGAATTAAAGGTATTATAACAAAATCTTAATAAAATAGAATAAAATGGTAGTGTTTTGAATACATTTTTAATACTATAAAACCAATGCGGAAGACCACTGTTAATTTTCAAAAAATTAATAACTAACCAATCTAGATCAAGTCATACTCTATGAAAGCTGTGATGCTTTAAATGAAGTGCATTCAAAGTAATGCATGCACATGCAGTTTAGAAAACTTTTATTAACGACATTAAATTAAAATTATTTTAGAAATATTTCCCACTCTTGAAGTATTATTTCTTATGCATTGTTGTTAATCACCAAATCTTTTACTCTTGACGAATTTTTTCCCTGAAAAAAAAAGCAGGGTTTTTACTGAAAATATAAAAATGCTCCACACTTGCTCAGGTTTTTCAAGAAAATTTCAACAAATAATTTAAAACTGGAAATTTTTTTTTTTGTTGGTAACTACCAATATTTTGAAATTGGAAAAATTGCACTTATTTATTCATTAATTTTGAATCTCATCGGCTACTTAGTGTCAATGTTTACTTAAAGATGAGTTTCCTTATATTTCTTCGTTATGGTAGCAAAACAAAAAGCAATATTTCTGCTTTAATTCTTTTGTACTCAAAATTTAATTAACAAGAAATTAAGTGATTTATCAGTTTCAACTTCTTAAACAAAAATTTGAATTGTCAAAACATTGACTATACGCAAAGATTTAAGATGATCATCATAATTATTGAACTATTTTTCTCTCCATACATTGGTATATTTAATTTAACTCATTGTTAATTAGTTAGTAGATTAGTTAAAATTCTAACATTCTAAAAAAATTCAGCTTTGTAGGACAAATAACAAAACAATTCTTTTGAATGAGGGAAAACTTCAAGCTTATTTTTAGCTTTCTTCTTTCAAAAAAACATCTTTTTAAATTTTAAAATATAATGTGAAATTATTTTGAAACTGTAACTAAATATGCAAAACCATGCATGAATTAGAATAAAGAATAGTTTATGAGAGAATAAATTAAAAGAAAAATGCTGTTTTCTAATTAAGATATATATTATATAGTTAAATGGTCAACTCAATATATAAATATTTTCAAATTAAATCTTGGTTTAATAGAGACTTTTCAAAATGGTACAGCTCTCCCTAAATCTAATATTAAATGCTATTTGAGTTTCACAACACCTACACAAAAATTTTCCGTACAAAGCACTACTACCACTAAGGGGTAAAAAAATAAGGTTACTGTTACAATTAACAAATGGCAAACTATGCAAAATCTCTCTATTTTCATCAGTTTAATTCTTTATTCACGGTCAAGAATAATAAATTCAACCAGATCCCCAACAAGTTCAGTATTTGGTTAATATAAACCACATTTATATTCAAAGCAATTTATAGTTCAAATTCATTCTTTTTGAAAAGAGGCCAACAGGAATTTTAACTGGTAAAAAGGTATATGTAGTTACTTCAATAGCTTTGTTATTCTAAAACAAATAATTTAATAGGAATAATAGTTTTGAATCATAGTCTACTGATGGGACAAATCAATTTTCATTCAATTCTTCAATGTTGGGATTGTACTATGAGCATATTTATGAAAAGACTTTGATGTACTACTATTAACTGCACAACAATATGTAACTTCTGTCTGTAGAATTGAAAATGCTCAAATAATAATTAATAATAGGATACAGAGATTAAAGGATACAGATTTACTTCAATGTGCAACATACACGATTAAAAGTATAATTCAAATCATGTTCTCTAAATGTGTCTCTAAGGTATAATCTGGTACTACACTCAATCGAATCAGTAAAATAAAATTTTTGTCAGCATTTTAAAGAAGTTTATCATGATTGACAACTTATAAGTTTAATAATTAAAAAGAAAAACAATTAAATTTGTAAGAGTTTTTTTGAGCAAAATAAGGAAAAAAGTTCTTAGGTAAAATATGGAGAAAAAGACATGCAAAAACAGTTACTAAAATGCGTGCAAAAATAGGAATGCCTAGAAATCATAGCTTTGTTTGTTAACCTGTTAAGCAGCTTAACTGAGGAAATTGGAACCCTGCATCAGCAGTTTGATTTGTCCTTAACTGGAGGTTTATTAAGTTTTGTGAAACTGTAAAAAGTATTACTTTGTTATAAATAAAAATGCAACAATAGAACTGAGCAGTTCAAAAGAATTTAAAAATGATACAAACACAAATAAAACTGGCTTTAGTATAAAATTATAATAAAAAGGCAAATTCTAAATTAGCAAAAGTTAGGAACATTGTTAACATATAATTAAATTAAAAAAAATAATTATAAACTATTTTAAAATTTGATATTTTTAATTTGTAATGTAAATTTTAATTAAGCGTAATTATTGGTCTTAATTAGATGAAGTGTACCTTTGTATTTTAATCATGATAATTTCATATAAGGCATGTAAAATAATTAGAAATAGATAATTTATAGTTTGGTTCAAGAACATAAATTTGCTATTTGCAAAATGAACTAAATTTTAATGGTGAAATTTACAAGAAAAAAAAATCTAGGACTCAAGTCGTTTGATTATAGTGTTTTAGCTTAAGCTTATGAACACAAAAGATTCATTATAATGTATATCTTAGTATGCTCATACAAACTTATTTGTATAAAGAACTTGCTAGATATTTTTGCTATTGTGTTAGGAAAACGCAAAGAAAACTAAAATCTTACAAAAAGAGGAAAGCACAACTGAGTACCATGTGTCCGAAATCTTGTAAAAGAAAGCAATTATTTACAACTAACTAAATTCATTATTAAATATATCAAGCATGTCAAAGGCATATTCAATGATATTTCGTAAATCAATACAAATTCTAAATTATTCACCAAAAATTGCAAAAATGAGTATAGTGTTAGTTGGGCGTCTTGAACTATTTATCATATATTACCACATGCAGTCCTAAACAACATAGAGTGTTAATTTGTATTTTTGTGTTATTATTTATATATCACCACATGCAATCACAATCTGAACTATGTGAGTTAGTTTAATTGAGTTATTCTTTATTTATCACCACATACAATATAAATAAAACCAGTAATGTTAGTAGTTTGGATTTTTGAGTAACTCTTTACATATAAATCAATCTAAATGATTCAATAGGAAAAACAATTAACAAGTATTGCATAATAAGACAAGAATTGAATAAAACTCTTAAAACTTACTTATCGTAAATAACTCCATCAACGCCTTGTTCTTTAAATTTTCTTATGACATCACCATTATTGATATCTTCTCCCCAACAAAACAGAATAAGATTTCGATCTTTTACAAACGGTATGTGTGATGGGTCTCTCATCAGATCTTCAGCATGGACATCAATACCCTAAAAGTAATATATATTTATTTTATAAAAATCAAACTCTCCAACTTGATAATATCAGGAAAGGAAATGAAAATACATACTAAAAGACCAGTGTTCAGGGCAAAATATGTAGCCATTGGTATATTTGAGGTTCTGGTATCCAAGTAAGGTGGGTATTTGTCTGTCTCCCCTTGTGTCAAAAACAACAATGGGTACTTGTTCTGTTTCAGTCTTACCCTATGTGAGAAAAACAAATGATAACAATGTAATTTAAATTTTGAAACAACTGCTCTTAAAACTATTTCAAAGAAAATAATTTAAGATATCAACATTAAATATGTAAATAAATAAGGGGGAAAAAAGAAAGAATTTTAATCAAGTGTGATTAAAGGGGTATTTAACTCAATTTATCACTTTTATAGCCAGGTTGAACTGTCAACAAATTTAATTTTATTTAAAAGTTCAAGCATATTTAATAAATATTTTGCAAGGAATCACAGGTTTTTTTTGTACAATTCTACAACAGCTTGGCAATTTACAAGTTTATACATTTTAAATTTGGTACAAAAAACACATGTTTTGTGACAGGTTCCTTCTTTGCAGTATGCTAGTTTAAAGTATACCTGAATAGTTAAAATTTTTCTTATCCTTTAGTGGATATATAACTTAAAAATTATTTTAAAGCATTATTAGAAATCTTCAACCATATTTAGAAGTAAAACTGCAGTAAGTTTCCAAATTATGATTCATAAATATGTTGAAAGAATACATTGAAATTTTTTTCCTCTTAAAATTCTACACAAGATTGGCCATTAACGGGTTAATGTATTTCATATTTCAAAGAGCCAACTAATGCATTGAGAATTATTTCTTCTTTGAACTATGTAATTAAAAAAGTTTGACAAAAAAAACTGAAATTAGATTTTAGATAATTTAACAGCACATACAAGACGAGTGGCATTAAGAATCCTTATATGTACTTAATGCAGAACATTTTTCTAGCATCATATTATTTTCTTCTATACAAAAATTAAATAAAAATATACATAAAAGAAAAATTTGCAAAACTTACAACATAATCAACTTTTTAACACATTTTTCAATGAATTTAATATGTTACGATGGGATAATGATTTGAACAGTTCTATGCCATTTAGATATCATGTTAATTCAGAGAATTCAATAGAACTAGTATCGTAAACAATAGTATGGAAATTATTAAAATTAGAAATTATAAAATTTAATTAGACCATATTATCAAACTCTTACATGTCAAGAAAGACAAATTAAGTTGAAAGTTATAGCCTCTCTTACCCCCAAAAAGTATCAGAAAAAAATTAAATTAGAACTGGGGATTTTAGACTAGAAATTAACTTATAGTAAGTTATTAAGATTTATCAGTTAGGGAACTATTTTAAATACTAAGTTACTCAATAAAATGTAACTTTAAATAACTTCATTAATCATTAAGATACATACGAACTCAAAACACTATACAAAATAGAAATTTTAAATAGATTATGATGAACTAGATTAGGGAATTATTATATCACTAAATAATTTTCCTAAGAGATGACATATACAAAAGTCAAAAGTTACTTTTCAAAAAAGAAGTATACATGCAATATTCAATTTGAACTGAAGATTTATCAATTAACGATTTATTTTAAAGTAATACTATTAAATAATTTATAAATGACTATATTGTTAAGATAAAGTATCTTTAAAACTATAGTTATAAACTTACATGGTACAAATATCTGGATGGAAACAAGATAGTACAATGTAGCGATTACCAGCATTCTCTAATATTTCTTTTAGAATCACATCAATGTATTTGTTCATTTCAAATCTAAGATCCAATTCCCATGTTCCATCCTAGAAGGATTAAAAACAGCTTTAATGCACATAATTATGAAAGAAAAAAAAACTGTGTCCGAGAAACAAAATACATTTTTATTAGAGATATGGTGTTATTAAAAATAATAGTCAAGAATGAGAAAAAGCAAACTTAACCAATTTTGGCCAAATGTTGGATTTTGCCATTTAAAATGAAATAAAAATATTTATAACTTACAGTTTAAATATTTCCCCCTTATTATAATAGTTAAATAATAAAAATAATTGAATAATCTAAAGTTCCATTTTTTTTTATAAAAAGGGGGGATCACATCATCATGGATGATCATCACATTTCACACAGCAGAGCGATTCGTGGGAGTTCCTTGGTCGAGCATTATTGGGAGGCTCGAGGCCGAATGAGACAATGACTTTTTTTTCCCTGTTCATGTCTTTTTTCCCTTTATGTCAAGTTCTCTGCCATTGGAAATAAAAAAAAAAAATATGTATATATAAAAATACTTTTGGATTAACGAGCTTTACAATTATTTGTAAAATTTTTTTTAAAATTAACTAAAATAATTCCAGAGACATGCTGAAATATATTAAAAGTTATATTAGCATTAAGAAGACAAAGCTTTTGACAGCTCTCCTGGTTCAACTATTGGACCATACTTTTTCAACCATGGCTAATCTCCATATTTTGAAGGTCAAGATTCTGAATCCATAAAAAAAGGTATATTAATACAAAGAAAACATGTTTTATGCCTGATTTCTTAAGTTAAATATCACCTGCATCTATTAATTGGCATATTACTTTCTTTATTCATTGATTGATTGATTGAATGTAGGGTTTAGTGGCACAAATGAGGACATGCTGTGCTAAACAATATGGTGAAACATTTCAAAAGCCTAAGTGCATATAAAAATTTAATAGTAGCACAATTATAACTGATAAAACAGTACTAGTAAGTGAATAAAACGTACCAGTAAGTGAATAAAACAAGATTAATAGTATGAATAAGTACAGTATAAAATGTACAAAGTAAGTAAAATGTCCGAAGGTGATAAATATTTATATACTGTTAAAAATATCAATAGCACGTAAATATGCTATAATGTCAGGATGATGAATGTCGACCAACAAATCTAGCATGCATAAAATAGAACTTTAAACGATGTTGGTTAAAACATGTACACATTANTAGTATTTCTGACGAGTGCGACACCCCAAAGCCCGAGGTTGCAGAGATGGGCGTTAGCCATTCAACGCCATGATATTGAGGCAAGTCACATCAAAGGATCGAAACTTAGTAATGCAGATGCATTGTCCAGACTGTAAATATAAACTAAAATAAGACTCTGAACATTTTTTCCTATTATTATTATTAGGTGATTAAAGTAAATACCTAGTGTTAAGTTAAACCTAAGATTCAGTGAATATTTGGGTGAATGTGAAACATAGTTTGTTTATGTGTAAAGTGTGACCCTTAAATTATTTGCCATATTCGATCTTTGGATCTAATATGACTCTGGGGGGAAGGTGTCAGGGTCACGTGATGTAATAACACGCATTTTCTGATGTTGCGAGCTAAAAGCTTGATATTATAGATATGATTTTTTTTCTATTTGTTTTTGGTTTTTTGGACAATGGATGAAAAAGAATAATAAAATGGTGAATTAGTTTTTGTAGAATTTTGCGTTATTTCTTTTGTAAAAGGTTACGACTGACAGCACACTTTTGCATAATACATGGCAAAAAACGAGACTTTTATTGAAAACACAAAACTAAGCAATTTTTAAATAACACCCAATGAAAAAAAGCTCCTTTAAGGGCTTTTAAAAATCGAAAATAAGCACTTCTTAAAAACATAATGTGAATGAGCCATGAAACCATGAATGGGCTTATGAAGTATGTGCCAAACTTCTATGGCTACAGGGAATGATTTTAAGAAGAGGTAGTGAAATAGGTAGGAAGAATTCTTCAAAAATTAATCTACTTTGAAATATTTAAAAGCATAACTAATTAACTAGTAGATCATATTTCAAATATGTTTTTGAATTATTGATTTGTTATTGAAGATGAAACATTTTTCTTAATGACTTTTAATGTTTGTTGTGAGAAAACAAAAAACTTGAAGTACATTAAACATTGTATACACGTAATTTTTTAAAAAAAAAATTGGTCAATAAACATCAAAAAAGGAAAATTATTTAAGGAATCTACTAAGTTTTTTTCCTCGCCACATTCTTTGTTTAGCCTTTAAGTAGTTCACATAATTACAATTTAAAGAAAGCATGAAGTGAATTTTTTAAAAAAAGATTCACAATATAGTATTATATGCACAATTTAAATTTAGCAATTTCAATGGATTTTTTTTAATGAATTCGTTATTTTTTTTATTTCAAATAAAATGTAATATTGCAAATTATTTTAGAATTGAATATCTTTATAAAATGAAATTTAATATAGTTTTGTTTTGTTAAGATTACTTTATTATTAAAGGGGTATTGAAAGTTACACAACCCTGTTATGATTTTTTGTGACTAAATTAATATTAAGTATAAGTCATTAAAATAGACACTAATTATTGCAAGAACATTTATGCATATTTTTATTTAGGTTATATATAATAATTAACATCCAAAAACATAAATTATTAAACAAAATTTTAGAATTTCTATGTAGGGGAAAAATCACAAGAAAATATTTAATTTAAAAATATAATTTGATACACTGTTGCTGATCAACAAGCAACAAATTAAATTACTGGATATTAATTTTACAGCCTTTGTAAATAACAATATAAATGATAAGAAAGAAATAAGTTTGCATAACATTTATAACTTCACAAAATAAAATTTATTAGTTTATTTCAAATCATTATTATATAGACTATTTAAAATTAAAGAGCAAAGAAGTTAATTATTATGAATAAATAGATGATTTTTTTTCATAAAGCTTTTTTTACAATAGAAAATTTTAAAAAAAGGCAACTAACTGGCATTGGATTGCAAATATGAACTGAAATTTCATACGATAAGTTCATAATAAAATAATTAAAAAAAATTAGCAAAACAATAAAAACACAAAGCAATGACTATGCAAACACAAGCTTCATAAAAAAGATTGATAAAAGTGCACATACTTTTAACAAACGCAACTGTTGAGCAGTAAGATCTTGTACAGCTAGTTTAAGTAATTCATCTTCATTAGGGGTTCTTTTCTGTAATAGACAATACATAATTAAAAAAAATATGTAATTGATCATTTTATTTATCATTGTTAACAGTTCAAATATTTCATGACTTAGTTTACTACACAGTAAAACCTACTTTTTTTTAATGTTAATAAAAAGTTAGCTAACCAGTATATATATACATCCATATCACAGAGCTTGATAGTTAAAAAATGTATGCTTAATAAATTCTAAACAAATGTACATTTAGCAAATAACAACCAATTTATCTTTCTAAATAAATAAATACTTCAGACTTGGCACTATTAAGAAAAACACAAAATTTTAATACCTTAGTACTAAAAAGCTTTTCAGAAAATAACATGTTCACCAGGTTAAATGTGAAAGAGTTAAAAACTAATTTTGAGTTTAAATCACAGAATAGAAAACAATGTTAAATTCAACTCATGTACCAAACACTGATATATTAACATAATGCACAAAAAAGACATGCTTACTTTTTTCATGGATATACAAATGTAGTAATCGTGATATATTACTGGGACCAGATCTTTGGACAATTGTACATCTAGCTCTACCATATCAGCTCCCTAGAATAAAAATTTTAATTGATAAATAATTACAAAATTAAAGTACTTTAATGAATACACAAAAGTAATCTAACTTACATGTTTTGCAGCATAATTAAAAGAAGCCACAGTATTTTCAAGAACATTTTCAACCCTAAAATTAAAGACAAACAAACAAGTTTTAATTCAATATAGTAGATTTAAATAAATGTAAGTTATTTTTGGATGGGTTTAAAATCTATTAAACTATTTCAGTAAAATTTTATTTTATTTTAGTAAAGTGTTATGTTAAGCAAAATGTAAATTTTTTTCAAAAAAAGCTTTCAAGATTACCAATTTAAATATAATCGGGGGAATAGTGAGGCCGAAAAGCCTTGGTACAACATTCCAGGCAGAAAGCCATTTTTGAACATGAAGCTTAATATTACTTTTAACTTCATAAATCTGCACTTTCTAAACAGAAATATAAGTAGGTTTTATAAATTTGTCGATAAATCAAGTTCTTGTTTTCAAAGCAACCAACTCAGCATTTAAGCAACAAATAAATATTGAACTCTTGATGAATTTGAACAAAAATAAATAAATGAAAAAATTTAAGATAAAAATAGTTACAACTTTAAGATTAGTACAAAAACTATACTACTAATTTAATCAGCATTGATTCCAAATAAAATTAATTATGAATGCATAAAAGGTGAGACTTATTTAAAACTCTAAGACAAATATTAGTTTTTTAAACTAAGTTATTTCAAAATAAAACTTGCTTCTATGGTTAAAAGTATGTATTTAAAGTAATTCAATAAAAGTAAGTTCAGAAAAAATTCAGTTTTTTGCTTACTTGTCATTTCTGCGAGCATTTCCAGCCCCTCTGTGCCCCACATCTAAGGAGCGTTTTTCACTTCTTTTCCAATGTTTTGCATAGGATACACTGAGATCACACACAAAGTCTTTCATAGGACGGATTATCAAATAATCCACTACAACATAACATTCAGAATTAAGTATTTGGCTGAATTAAGCAAGATTGGTAAAGATAAAAACAATTTTCAAAATAAGCAAAATTTTGAACATATATTAGTTAGTAGAGTGCAAGACAGTATCAATGCCTAAGGATAAGGTTTCAGTATAAAGCAATCAGCTTGTTTTTATATTAGACAAGGAATATAATTAGTAGTAGTAGTTGGTTTTTATTTACGTCACACAATATACTATTATGGTCTGGGAATTCTACGGCCTTATGGATGATCCCCTGCAAAGGGGATGGCTCCCCCGCTCTGGTTATTCAATGACCTGCGTGTGCAAAGTCGAGCACATTGTTGGAAATAGACTAATCAGCCGGCTCATCCTTTGTATGATGCTTTGTAATGTAAGATTAAAGTTCAAGGTTATGTTATATTTCTAGAGGAGTAACATACATTTTGTTTAACTTTAAGTATTAATTTAAGGATGCAGACAACTAAACTTGTTACAGTTTCCCCCCCCCACTGTAATGATATGCACAACACTTAGGACATTACGAATCAGTTCATGGCTCAACCGTACTATATATAAATACCTCGGATGTTGTAATATCATCTATAGTGTTCTGGTTATTGTTTATTATGTCAAGCTGCAGTGTGCTAGCTTGTCTACCTTTTCCACGATAAAGTTTCCTAGGTAACTATGTGCTCCAGCATGTATCTGCTTTTTCTCCTTTACAGTCATTTTCATATTTTGCGGAGATTTAGAAAGAGACAAATTTAAGAAACAATAAATCAATATGATACGAAATGGGACTCGTTAATAAGCCATCCAATTCAATCCATTGCCAGCCACATAAGTGATTACAGAATTATTGTGAGTGATTACAACACCCTCTTCTGGTTAGGGAGAAATTCGTAACAGTACATGCCTTACCGTGTCTTGAAATGGAAATGAGGTTAAAAATAGCATTTTCTCTTAATATCTTATTATAAGAAATTATATTTTAGAATTCCATTAAACAGTTAGAAATACCTGATAATTGCCCTATTGGCTGTTGCCTTTTGCCAGATATGGGCATGTTACACGTACCAGACGTGTCTCTCATATTACTGGGCAAAATGTAACAGAAGCCTATGTGTTCTGGAATGTCTGTTTCATGAACATAGAAATCTACCATATAAGCCTGCAACATAAGGTAATACAACAAATTAATAAAATTTAATATAAATAGATTTTATTTTACTACTTTTTAAAGAAGTTATTATTCCAAAAATTTAAGATCATAAATAATAGAACAGTTATTTAAATCTATAATATATTAAACTGACATTAATGATTGAAGTACAAAAGCAGACAGTTTATTTAATTTTGTATAAACAAAAGCTATGCCAATAAGTATAACAAGAGCAATCAATTTAAAGAACCTTAATGAATGAAAGATACTACAAAAATAAGAAGACTAAAATAGAAAAGAAAGTATAAACCAAAGAATTCAAACCGAAAAAATAGTATTGAATTTTAATAAAGGAAGACATTTTATCCTACCTTTTAAAACAACAATAATGGAGCGAAAAATCAAAATGAAACTCTCATGATACTTAATGGCAACGAGGAAAGACAATGCTAAAATGAAAGCAAAAATTATAACTGGAACAATTAGGAAAATAGATACTTTCAGGAAAGGATAAAAAATGAGCAGGGTAAATATTAAAATATCAAGAAAGGAGTAAACTTTTAGATATTTTTATTTTACAACCAGATTCTTGAACTCAGAAACATATTTAGAGATTTATTCCTTACAAGAATGACTTAGAACAGTCTTGACATAAAACAACTGATATAAATCCAAAGAAAGGCAACTAAAGCAAAGAAACAAAATGGATTAAAACAAAGGAAAATAAAAAGGGAGACAGTTAAACATCAAATGAAGGAATGGAACAAATAAACATCAAAGGAAGATAAAATAAAGCAAGTTAATATCTAAAAAGCCTAACAGAGAATTGTAAATAGAATATAAAACAATGACCAGTTGGCATGCTTGAATTTTAAAAACTAGCAGTGTAAAATATATGCATTTTAAACTCAAGATATACTACGTACTAAAAATATATTCAATAAATAGTCAAAAGAATATTCAATCTATTTTTAGTACAAATTGTATGCAATGATTTTGGAGAAATTATTATAAGTAGTAACAATAGTAAAACTAAATATATTGATGCTGAATGTAATAGTTAAAATGATATACTAATAATTATTTAATACTAAAATTCTTTCGAAGAGGAAGAACAGGGTAGTAATAATATATTTTCAATATTTATTAATAATTTTTTTTTTTTAACAGTCATAGGAAGTTTCCAGTTTTCTGGGTAAAATGGCTTTATAATAGAGTAAGGTAATATAGCTTTATAATGGAATAAGGTTGCTTTATAATAGAACAAGGTAAATTTACAAAAGTTAATCCAGTGTGCTTCACAAAAAATGCATAAACATTTGTTACATAAATATCAAAAAATATTTTGAATCAGAAAGAAAACATTAAAAAATAACTTTTAGACCAGCAAGATGCTTAGGTAAGAATAACTGTGAAAATGCAAAATAGTTTGAAAGGGCAATGAACCCATTGTAGGAGAGGGGAAAAAATGTGATTTTTGAGAAAATAATTTTAAGCACTCTCAGTGCATGCAAACAAAATTTTAATGAAAACTTAAAATCGCTAAAAATTGATAAATAACTAAAAATTAACGCTTTCTAGTAAATAAAATGATTTACATCATAAAACTTGCAACAACAAAAAATACAAAACCTGAATCTTAAATTTTATACAATCTTCAATATATTTCAGCAAAACTTTTGTTGATTATTATTTTTTTTAAATTTGACACACTGTAATCACTCCTTAATAAATCTTTTAAATTTTTTTTCACTTTCATATAATAAATTGCAAACAAAATTATTTCTCTTTAAATGAAAAAAAAAAAAAAAATTTAGATCTCAAGAACATGGTTGATGTAACAGATAAGAAATATAAAATATTCCATCAATAATTTCTGCAGCACAAAAGCAGACATAATTCACATTATCAGATTAAAATAAATCAATGAGTTTATATCCACTTAATGAAAATAAAAATACTTTTAAATAATAATTCATATTCAATCTTCAAGAACATTTTTCCAGTCACACTTTTAGTCATTACTAGTTTTAAAATAATGTCTTTCAAAAGATTTTTCTAAGTAATTACTAATAACACTAGAGTACCAAATAGATAAAAGTTAAATTGAGAGCATAAAAAATTTGACAGAACAGTCAACAAAAAACTAAACTAAACTCAGCGGCGCAACAGCCCAAAGAGGGCCAAGGCCTACTGTGCCCATCTCAGTTAACTTGACCTTTGGGCTCTGGGGTGCAGGAGCAGATATTCCGGTTAGGTGGTCAGCCGAACGCGAAACCCCCAGTGTTTAGTTCCCAAGCATGCTTGGTACTAATTTATCGACCCACTGAAGGGATGAAAGGCTGAGTCAACCTTGCCCGGCCCGAGGATAGAACCAGGGACCTGTGGCACGACAGCGCTACCGCTCAGCCACCGGGCGTCCAACAAAAACATTTTTAACTAATAACAAAAATGTACTTTCTTATATATTTTTTGACATTATAGGAGGAATTTTTATTTCAGACATTGAAAATCTTTTAATTAACACTGATTAAAAAAAATTGATATAAGTTTCATATATTTGATTCTAATTCTCTTTTATTGTACATTTTTTTAAAACTTAAAATTTTTTTAAAAAATTTTTACATAAAAAAAACTAATCTTTTTAGAGGTGTGAGAAGCAGCAACACAATTAAAAATCTCACAATCTATTAAAATCATTAAGTCATTAAATAAAAATAATAATAAGGCATGGTGCCTTCGAATATTTTTTCTAGCTATGTTTTGTTAACTGTTATTGAAAAGCATTTTGAAGCTGGAAAAATTACAGGGATATTTTTTTAATTAGCTTAAAATCTCATGAGTGATGTAGCGGAAGAAGTTGCTAAAAACATTCAATAGTAAATCTCTTGCACAATGTTAAAAAAAAAAAAAAAAAAAAAAAAAAAAAAAAAAANAAAAAAAAAAAAAAAAAAAAAAAAAAAAAAAAAAAAAAAAAAAAATTCACACACACACATGCACCAAAGAGTGAATAAAACTTTCTGAGAACTCAATTTTAATCATTATATAGTTAAAAAAATTTATTCTGAAAAGTTGATTCCTTTTCGATTTATGATTGGAATAATTAAAATAAAAGTTATATTAAGAAAATATCAAAAATTGCAATAAATAAATTGAAGCACTTATACAGAAAAATGTCTATTACATCAGCATCATAATTTTAAAATTAAGATAATTTTAATTTAATAAATTATTTTAAAACTATACTTTTAACAGAAATATTCGTAATGTTGGTTATCACTAAAGTAAAAACAAATGAGCAAATAATCCAGAAGTAGAAAAATTGCACAGAACACTTTAGAAAATAATCCATGAAAAAAACACAAGTTGAGAAAGATTAAAATATAATGGACTACTTACAAGGAATGAATTATCTTTCGAAGGATTAGAAAAAAAGTAAAATAAATTTCATTTATTTTTATATCTTTCACAACTTGGTAAAAACCATGGTTCTTCAACACCAAAAACACCTAGCTTTAAGCTAGATGCACCCAATCCTCTCTTCTTGCAACACTGGAAACATTTAAATCAAATAAGCAAGTCCAGTACAATTGAAAGTCCAGTTCCAATTCCAGGGGCAAAACTAAAAACAACAGATGTGCAGCTTGCTGAAGGAAGAAGACAGGTTAGTTGGTCGTGGCATAAGTAAGATGGCTGCAATTGATATTTTCTTCGTATGTCCATCTTTAGGGTGCGACAGGACAATTATGTCCCAGCACACCCCTTGTAAACCTTGGCCTGTGAATGACAATAAAATGCGAGAATATTAAATCATCAAATCTAAAGATAGAAGCCTGTACTGGAAAAAAGCCAGTTTATTATAAAAGCTGTTAAACTTTGATATGTAATATGAATGTTAAGTCAGTTACAAGTCCAGAGCTCCTAGACAGCAATTCAAACTTATTTCTTTTTAACTGAATAATAGAGTAGTTAACTGTTAACATTCATACAGCAATTGAACATTCATATATAATTTTAAAGGTTGAAAAGAAATGATGTTTTCATAATGTTACTTACAATAGTTTCTGGACTTAGCATCTGCACTTGAAAAATAGAGTAATCATTTGGGTCATAATTAATTCCGAACTGGCTTTGAGGATTGAATTGCCAACCTGTATCATTCATTTGCTGAAATAAATATGTTACAATCAATTGCTTATCTTTCACTGTCATAGCAGTGAAGAAATTTTTTTTAAAAGACAGATTACGAACATTACCCAATGCAATATTTATATACACAGAACTTTTGTTTCCTTGTACATCGAAATTTAATGAAATGAACAATGGATTCATAATATTTCGTGTTAGAAATTATTTTTTCTACTTGCAAAGAAATACATATTTTAAAAAGATATAATTACTACCAATTTACGAAAGTTAAAAAATAAAATTATTTAAGCTTACATTAATAGTGGACAGTTCTAATATACATTTCCCTTTAATTGTCTTTTTTGCAAACATAATTATCTTAGCATAACTATTAAGAATTTAATAACAAATTCAAGAGTCAAATTTTTTAAAATCTCCAGCTAATTATATTCTGATGTTTATGCATGTTTAACATTTATCTTTATGTTTGTAGGTATAAAGTGCAACCAGTGATTGTTTGTCAAGTTAAAAAATCTAAGATCTGAGAAGTAAAAAAAGATCTACAACTTTTTTTTAAACCCTATACTATTTTATAAATCAACCTGCTTACATTCCAAAAACCTAAGGAGTTATTCAATATAAAAACAAAGCATCAAGAAAAATAATCAATTCTATCAAAACTAAGAGAAAGAATGAGCTGTTTAAAATTTTGAAGGTATAACTTTGCAAGGGAAAAAAAAAAAAGGAAAATAGTTTTCTTATGAATAGAGAAGTTATAAAAAAAGAGAGACTTACAGCAACTTCAACAACAGGCCAACTTTGAACAAGAGTTTCTGTTAGAGTACTGTCTTCTTCGAATCCCAAAAGCTAAAATAAAAATATTAAAATAATTAAATTTACACAAGTAAATCTTAAAAGCAAAGAGGTACAAGGAGAATTTACAAAATTATTTGCTTATGTGGTTAGCTCTATATCCAACCAAATACTCACTGAAATTCTCACTCTAGGAAAATATTAATTACAAAAAAAAAAAAAAAAAAACGTTGTTGTTTATTCATTGTTATTCCGAGAAACTAATTTTAACCCAATTCAAAAATGTATTACTGCAGACTAGATTTTTGGGAAGTCTATCACATAAAAAAAAAAAATATATTTTTAGTTAATGACTCTTCTATCACACAAACTATTTTTCTTCAATATATTAAAGTCTTCTATTCTTTAACCTACCACCATTCTCTTTTTATGTTTAATGGTAGAAGACACTACAAGTGTGCTTTTTTCTGTATTGGTTTTTCCATTGTTTACTGATGGAACTACTGATGTATCTTTAAGACTTAACTCTCTTTTCCCCACAGACTGATTTAGTTTAGTTTCTTCTAGTCATTAATAACTACTTTTTTAATTTCTCTACATTTACTTTACAATGAGAATGATACTCAGCTATGCTATAGCACTGTAACTAATATGCTTTTTTGAATTATTTTAATATTACTTGTGATTTTTAATGATAGTTTTCGCCTTTTAATCATATGATCACAAAGTTCTTATTCTTACTGATATTTTAAGATTTGGCAGTATTAATAAGGCCATAGCAAGTATGTTTTTTAATAAATTAGCATTAACATAGTTGTGAGTGCAATTGGTAATACAAATAGTTTAATTCTGCAAAAGAAACATAGTACATTAGCCATAATAACAATAAATTTCTTTTCAAAATGCTACAGAAGTGAACACAGACAAATCATTTGTTAGTTAGGTTAAATTTCAATAAATAAAAAAAAAACATAGAAAATGTAGAAATCTGTTAAAAGTTAAATTGCATGGAGAAATTTTACATTTGAAGTTAATTTACACAAATTTAATGTTCCTAAATAATAAAAAAAAAATTAACTCACAGCAGCGGTAGAATCTTTTCTGGTAATATCAATCGTAGAAACATGAATAGATATTTGTTTTTCTTTATAGCGGCGTTTCCAGATGGTGACTGGATTATTGAACATTTTTAACTGAATTATGGTTTCTGCGGTGAGCCAGCCAGACGAAATGCTTTCAACATCATCTAAAAATAACATCAATATTGTTACAAAATCATTATATGTTTTAGCTAAAACTACTTAATTTTCTAAATTTAAGATAAGGTATTAGCTATTTTTATTGAACATTTTCTCTTTCTTCATTCTTCTTATAAACAGAAAAACCATCAAAAAGTAAAGTATGATCTGATTAAATTAAAGCCCTTTAATTGTAAGAGGAGAAATAGTTTTTATAGTTGATATCAGGGTTGGAGTTTTTATACAAGAGTAATTTTAATAAATGAAATAATTTTAATAATGAATAATAAATAAAATAAAACTGGCAGCTACTTTAACATAGATTAAGGTTTTTTAAACTTCTTTTCACAAGGAAAATATTAATGTAATCCATCATATACAAATAGTAAATTATACACAGACTTTATATTAAATAAATACACAATAAAAAATAAGTTACTAAACATGTATAGTCCTTCAGTTTTCAATAACAAAAGAACAGTTTATAGTGTTAAAATACATTCTTCATTAAACCTACCTGTTGCCTAGCAACTGTGGAAGAAAATCTGTCAATTTTGTGAGAATTTCAGGAAATGATAAACTGCCTTATTTCAAATATGAAATCACGTTGCAAGACTTTAATATCTGTAAGAGAGGACCATTAAACCGTTCTTTTTTGGTTTATTCTGCAACCACTGTTTCATACCTTCTGACTCTAACGAGTGTTTTACATGAGTGTGTATTACAATTGTTGAATGGTTATCTGTTTTGTATTGTATCAATGTATTTACATATCAAATTTCATTAAAATCGGTTCAGTAGTATTTGAGATAATCGCCCAAGTCTGCGAATTCTCTTAATTTCTTACACCAGTGTAGATTGGAAAGATATTAAGAAATTTTTTACTTTACATACAGTGATGAGATTCATATTATTCAAGAATGAGTACATTTAAATATAAAGTTTGACTTCCATCACCAGAGCTCATTCTAGGCACGGTAAACAGGGTGCAGCACCCTGCTGCCCTTTTAGTCAAAAGAATCAACTTTGTTGCCCCTGAAGTAAATTAGTGCCCTGATTTAATAGACTCCATATCCTTTTTGCCCTTTCTTTCCTCAACCCTTCTTTATTTCCCCCCCCCCCAAACTCTACAATGGATTTCTTAGACTTTTGTTATTTTCAACTTTTTTTTAGTTTGTCATTGCTGCCAATACATAGATTTATATGGGAAAGAAAAAATAGCCATCACACCCCCTTGCTGCACTTGTCTTTGTTACTTGTCTGAGTTTGCAGTTACTTCCACTATCATTAAATCATAATTATTATTAATCATTTTAATTATTAAATCATAACACACATTTATTATTTTATTAATATATGTATGCATTTTAAATAAATTACTAAGCTCATTAACTCGATATATATGTTAATTTATTTATGAAAATTAGTAATTAATATGATTGCTTTACTACTTTTAGTAAAGTAAAATTTTTTCCCCTTTCTTTTACTAATTGACAATGTTTTTTAATAGAATGTGTAAAGTCCATAGAAAGAAATTATTGCCAATATTAATAATAGGATATAGAACATAATAATAGCATATATATAACATAACAGACACTATTTGATTCAACAAGATTATCATTAAAATGGTGAAACTTAATTAACATTACAAAACTACCTGCATATTCATGACATACCTTTATATCCAAACACATCTAAGTCACATTTTCCATCTATATGATTAAGAGGAGTCAATAAACGAGGTCTTAAATGGCTCTCCCATTGCTGAACAATATTTTCTTGTTTCCCATCATTATCCACAACTGAGCAGATGAGATAACGGTATTGGACATTTTGAGTTTTAGGAACAGTAATAACGCCTGTCCATATGTTTCTAAAAGATTAAAAATAAAATAATGTCATTTTTTTCATTTAATTATTAATTCATAATTTTTTTAAAAACCTTTTCTCACCATACACGATAAATTTTTTAAACCATTTTTTTAAAAAAGTAAATTTGTGACAATTTCATGACCAATGGCAATGTGCAGATTCAAAGCCAGTCCTGAACAATGACAGTTCAGTGCCTTAACCATTTTAATGGTTAAGGCAGTGAACCATAACAGCTTAACCTTAATGTAAATAAAAATTTATGGAATCAGTTTTCTTGAAGTCATTTGTATGAATATCAAAATATTTATTCTTATAATGAATATATTAATAACCATAACCTTTACAGATTAGTTATTACTAAGGCCCGGATTTTGATGACATTTGCATTTTTTGTCCTTTTTTTGGCATTTTTTAAAAATTTTGGTGCATATTTTGCATTTTAAAGCATTTTTTAAGTTTTTTGTTAATTTTTTCCAATTTTTATTATTTTTTGGGGGCGTTTTCATTACATAAATGCAAGACTTGTCTTGATGCAGAAGATGCTGCATCAATTAAGATAGGGCAAAACGTGTTGGCCTCTGACAAAATCGAAGGAAACATATCATTTATCAAGTCTAACTTTGCTATTGTGTCCTCCACAATTACAAGATTGGAGAAATATGAATTGGAACTTTGCGATGCAATAAATTACATTGACGTAGTGAGTCAAGTGCTGCAAAAAGCAAGGGGAAAGATAGCACAAAGTGTAGCAGCTAAATTGAACAAATTTTTTGATAAGAACACTGGCTTCCAAACAATGAAGAAAATTTCTAGGATATTAACAGGTGAAGCAACATCTTTTCAAGTTGAAGAAGAATTGTCAGTAAGTGAGACTGTCTTTTTCAAGTAGGCACCAATAACATCACTAGACGTTGAAAGAAGCTTCTCCGGGTATAAGAATTTACTTTCAGACAAGAGACGCTCGTTTACATTTCAAAATATCAAAAATCATTTAATTCTGATATTTAGTAATATTATGAGATGGAAGTTGTTATATTATTTTAAGCTTCCATACAAAATGAAAATGTTTTGGAATCAATACATTTTCCTTTTTTTGTTGTTATTTTAGGATATAAAACATATTTTTCAAACTTTAATGACCGTAAAACACGTATTGCATTGCTTTATATTTTTTTAAATGACTCATAATAATTTTAAAGAGTAAAACATTGTTTTAGTTCAATATTTTTACTTCATTTAAGTCATTTCATAAGGCTTTTTAGCGCAATTTTTGTATTTTTAGCACTTTGTAAGGGGATTTTTTGTACTTTTTAAGGGCGTTAATTGAGATTTCGTAAGTCATCAAAATCCAGGCTCTAGCTATTACAGTACCTAATATTCATCAAGAAGTAATTCGATATTTTTTAAGAATNCAATTAATGAAGAAAATTTCTAGGATATTAACAGGTGAAGCAACATCTTTTCAAGTTGAAGAAGAATTGTCAGTAAGTGAGACCGTCTTTCTCAAGTACGCACCAATAACATCACTAGACGTTGAAAGAAGCTTCTCTGGGTATAAAAATTTACTTTCAGACAAGAGACGCTCGTTTACATTTCAAAATATCAAAAATCATTTAATAATCCAAGGTAATTCTGATATTTAGTAATATTATGAGATGGAAGTTGTTATATTATTTTAAGCTTCTATACAAAATGAAAATGTTTTGGAATCAATAAATTTTCCTTTTTTTTGTTGTTATTTTAGGATATAAAACATACTTTTCAAACTTTAATGAGCGTAGAACATGTGTTGCATTGCTTTATATTTTTTGAAATGACTCATAATAATTTTAAAGAGTAAAACATTGTTTTAGTTCAATATTTTTACTTCATTTAAGTCATTTCATAAGGCTTTTTAGCGCAATTTTTGTATTTTTAGCACTTTGTAAGGGGATTTTTTGTACTTTTTAAGGGCGTTAATTGAGATTTCTTAAGTCATCAAAATCCAGGCTCTAGCTATTACAGTACCTAATATTCAACAAGAAGTAATTCGATATTTTTTAAGAATAAAATATAGCTTAACAGTATTTTTTCTATTTATAGAATAACAAAGCTATTTCTTTAAATATGATTGATAAATATTGATATTGATAACTCTTTAAACAAATTAGAAACTTATTTTAATCTCATGTTGGTTAAATGAACAGACTTTTTAGTTTTAAATATGGTTTTGTAGACTTTCAAAGGCTTATTTTGCAGGTAACTAAGCTTCTGGCATTTGTTTGAATGATATTTCTAAATATAAGAATATTCTTTTACTAATTATCTTATTTTAATTCTAACTTATACATTCATAGGTTAGAATTGAATTTAGAATTATGAAAGCAGAAAAAACACAAATTTAATAAAAGAGAGATCTGAAACAGCATTTACATATTATCTACAACAAAAATTATACTTATATATTTAAGCAGTAGTCTGTAATTTGGCAACAAAATTAGATATAATAGGTAAAAAAAAGTTCTAACAGAGACTCTCTGAAAAATCCTAAATTTACAGAAACAGCATATTTACAGAAATTTAAAGAAAATGTATAGAAAAAGAATTAAATCAGAAAAAAAGTTTCCTCTAAGGTTTTTTCAATTTTCCTGTGAAAAGAAAAAGGATTTTGGCCTCTGTTTTTCCCAACCATGATCTGAAGTAATATTAAATCAAAATTCAGGAAATTTTCAAAAAAAAGATAGTATTTTATTTGAAATGTGATATAGAAGTGCATTTGAAAAATAGTACAGTAGGGAACCGATTATCCGGAACGGTCGGGACCATCGCTATTCCGGATAACTGATTTTTCCGGTTTTCTGAATCGCTACAAAAAGCCGTTTTTTTTACTGTTAAACCCTACTAAAAAAAAAAAATATTTGGAAATGATCTTAAAAATAAGAAAAAACGATGAAGTAATACATTAATGATTATTTCCATAATGATGGTAAGGTAAACATCTTTAAAAAAAGAAAGAAAAATCGTAAAATCTTAAGAGGAAAAAAAATTTTTTTTAAAAAAAATGGCGAGAAAATTTATCGAATTTCGTTCCGGTTTTTTGGTTTTCCGGTTTTCTGATTTCCGGATAACGGGTTCTGTACTGTATAAATAAAATATTGAAAGATTGTTGCATGCTAAGCAGTTTATTTAAATAAAAACTTAATAGTTTCGAGAATTAATACTGTCTAAAGTAAACTAAAATAATTATCATGAAAAGCAAATTAAAGTATACTTATTAACTGTATAATGGCAAAATATAGAATTTTACGAAAATTTATATTATACCAAATAATTTTTTAACACACAGAAAAATTTCCTTCTTATGACATATCAGGATATATGATAGGATATAAAATTAAAGCAAAAATTTTAAATAAATTTTTTACCAGTAATTTACCATCAGCATTTAAAGAAAGTTTCAGAGGCTTTAGTGTCTTAGAAAGTCAATAATTTGTTAGTAAAAAAGATAAATATAACAATATTTGCAATGGAAAATTCCATTATTAACAAATTGACATTTCAATTTGACCTAAAATACATATTATATAAAAATGCTTTTTTCAAGCAGCATATTGATAATTAAAAATATAATTTCTTTGATTATTGTCACTTTAACCCACTGGCAGTAAAGCAAAAGGGCAAAATTGGGAGTATGTTTCTCCATTGTACACTATTTTCTTATCTAATAACATGGAAATACTGGTTTTGCTATGTGGAGAAGACAGCAGGTTAAAATGTCGGTAACCAAAACTTTTCCCATAAATAATTCATTTTTAACTAAATTGAAGAGTAAGATCAGAAGAGTTTACTTAACAATTTTGACAAAGTTACTGTCATTCTGTAGAAATATAAAAATTAAATTAAAATTAGTTTTAATTATAAAGGGAAGACAATAATATTACTTTTTAATGACACTAAAGTGATTTAATGACATTATAATAGAGAAGAATAAGAATAATCTTAAGTAAACAGAAATCGGTGATTATAGTTTGAAATAAAGAGCTAGGAAGAAACAAAATGCTTACAAAGTACCTAAGCTTTGATGAATTTAACTTATTAGAAATATAAAAATTAAATTAATTTTTTTTAAATAAAAATAAATCTAGTTTGGAAACTATCGGCACTACTTAGTTACGCGAAAAGTTTTTGTAGCATTAATAATCATGAATATTTTTTGACTTTTAATTGATTAAATTATCTGACAAACATTAATAGTTAGAAGTATTTGTTTTTATTTAATTTCTCCTTACTAAGTCATATAGCTTTAAAAATACATTTTTAATAACGTAATACTATATTAAAATTAGTTTAATAAAAATAGTTTGCAATCAAACTTGCTCACAATTTAATTGCCTGTATATATTCATAATTTATTCGTCGGTCATAACCTTGCCCTCAATATGAGAAATTTCATTCAATAATATCATTCAATTTCCACACAACTTAAATGTTTTTAATTATATCTAACATATCATTTTCAAAAGGGGAAAAAAATGTATCAAGCACAATAACATTGCTATTATAAATCTCGTATCGGTCACAAAAAATTTGACATGCGAGCGAGCAAATCGTGTCAGACATCTTTTAAAATAATTTGTTCATACGTATTAAAATATTTTTTAAAAAAAAAATTTATTCACTTACCCTTCGGGCGATACTTTCATTAACATAACAGCATCTGATACTTTCCATGATCCTAATTCAGGTGAATTTCCTGAAATAAAAACTGTCTCGCCAGGTTTCGTTTCCGCTCTGACCAGCACCACAACATTTTGAAAACGAAGTTCACTATTTAAAGTCCGCATAGTTAGCGAAAAATAAGGCAACTTTGGTGAAAATTACAGAGAGATAATGTTTTAACTTCGACGAAAATTTCAGATGAGCATCAACTATCCATCTTCTAAATAAAGACAAGGAAAAACAAAGAAAAAGAGGAAAGTCAAGAAACTTCTTCTCTTGATAAAGTCGAACGATGTCTACCGTATCTTTTCTAGTTCAGTGCTTCAAGCTCGGTGGCGCTCTTTTCTGATAAAAAATAACAAAGCATTTCATTGGCTCGTTGATCTCACGTTACGTGTACGTACATAAGTTTCTTACGCAATTTTGCACCTCGTAACTTGAGGTAAATTAAAATAGTGTATTGTTTAATAAATGATGATAGATTTATAAATACTAAAAAAATTATTCTTCATCCACTATATTCATCTTCCCACGAAAAAAACTATTGTTCGCTGTCGTAAAGGTATCATTAATTCGCACAAATTAGTCACAATTTTTAATTTTTTCGTGGATTAATAACTTTATTACCATTTTAAATTTTTAAAAATGTTTTCCCATTTTTTTAAAGATAATTAAAAATTTTAATTTTATTTGATCCTTATTTTTTCCTTGAAACCAGTAAAAAATTGACGGTGAAACTTCACAAAAACGTCTTAACACATATTATATCATTTAAATACATATTCAGGGTCCTACTTAGCCTAATCGGGGCCCGGGGCAAAAACTTCTTTGGTGGCCCACCTCTACTTCACTACTTCAGTAATGAAGAAACGAACTTTATGGAAGTGTTTAAATTTTTCACCTCATTATAAATAACAAGAAGATTGACTAGAACCTAAAATAGCTATAAAGTCCCCTTCCTTCCAATGGTCAGACGAAATATCATTCAGTCCATTTTATTGATTTTCTGACAATTCTATGTCCATCAGGGCGGGTGCAGTTTTCTGCTTGTTAACTTAGTCATCTAGCTGCGGAAAATTCATATCCTACATAAGGGCGGAATTAGCTAAATTTTCACAATTACGATGGCTCAATCAAAGTTAATCAAAATTCTGTATATTTGTAAACAAATCGCATTTTGCGATATGTAAAAAAAAACAGGCTTTTGATTGGCCCAATGCGTTCATCGTGAGCCGCGATGGCTCAGGGGATAGAGCGTTCACCTTCCAATACGGCTAACCGGGTTCGAATCCCAGTCGATACGAATTCCGCATCAGGCTTGCACCGACTACAGTGCTGACGTGAAATAGCCTCAGTGGTAGACGGATCATAGGTTAGAGTGCCCTTGCCGTAAGGCTAACCGTGGGAGGTTCTCGTGGTCTTCCTCACCAAAACAAATGTCGAATTCTGCCTCAGAAAAGCCATGGATTTACGAAATATAGATTGTGTTCATACGATAGATTAATGAAGAAGCTAACATAAAACTGACGGATTCTACACTATATTGACATTTTGTTTAAAAGAAGTTCATTAAAGAAGGAAACGTAAAATGAACTTTCTATTCGATTTGTGGCCCCACTCTGATGTGGGGGCCCGGGGCAATTGCCCTGTATACCCCTGCCTTAGTCAGGCTCTGTACATATTGAATTCTTTTTATTGATGTATGTAATTCGGTAATGTTCAATAGAGTCGACATACTATAAAGATGGTATAAATGCTACTTTTTTATTTCCGTTTTCATTATACGAGTATTTTAATTTTGCTTGTATAATTCCATTATCAAGATCGGGACTGCACCATGTAAAAAACCCTGAATATTTGATGAATTTTAGTAATAAATTTAAAATTATTTATTTGCAGGGTTCCCACTGTCTGGAAATTTTTTTAAAGTGCTAGCGATAGTGATATATATATCTAGAGGTTTTAAGATATCAATAAATATTTAGCACAAAGCAAACATGTATGGGTGCAGAAAATAACTTGCGAATAATTTTGTAATTCGTGAATGAAAGATAAAAATTTTCAATAGTCTTGAAAAATCTTAGTTTCCGTTAATTTTTTTTTTTTTTCAGGTCGTGGGAATCCTGTTTTAGTTGTTGTAATCTTATGATAAGAGTTTCATTGAATGAATTAAAATACTTTTTGAAGTTATACTTCTTAAGCGACTTCCAACAAGGTTGCGTTAAACGTTTAACGCTACATTTTTATTGGCCGGGAAATCACGTGGTAAAGTTTTCATTGGCCATTNATTTAAGGTTATGTCAAGGTACGTCTCTTGTGAATATCAATTGATTGTTTCTCTTCTGAAATTACATTATGACGCATTCACATACATTATTAATACAAATACATTTTCCAGGGCGAGACGATGAGGCAACCACAAGCACTTCCACTGGTTCAAGTGGTCCACGAGGGAAAAATGCACAATATTACCGTGATTACAGAGCACGGAAGAGAGCGGAGCAGGAAAAAGAGTCGTTGAATAGAACTAGTGATCTTTCTACGACTGCTGATTCTTCTACAATTAACGTCGCAGGTTGCGAAGTTTAACTTCTTCCGCGAGGAGGGACTTCACGCACTATTTTTTTAATAATTAAGTATTGTTTCAATCCTTGACAGTATTTTATAGTCCATTTGTTATATAAGCATTTCAAGTTTTATTCAAAGTTACTATGGGCCTTAGAAAAATTTAATAGCGGTAACGGAAATGGGATGAACTTCGATCATTTGAAATATTTGTGACTACCACTATATATTATTTTGTAAGAAAAATATCTAAAAAATTTGCCTAACAGATCTCTAAATGTTAAAGTGTAGTCTTGAAAAAAGTGATTCCTTTTCCTTTCTGGATAAAACGTAAATTTATAAGCCCGCCTAAATTTTTTAAGCCTATCTAAATTCTGTTCATTGTTAATATAATTACTGCTCTACAAATAATTTTTCCTTTGTTATTTTTATAATTGAGACTCAAACTTTGTCTACACTAATGAATTAAATGTTTGTGCATATGGGTCATATGTTTTTCAGACATCATGATGCATATTTCTTCATGTGCAACATACATTTGTGCACAACCTACTTTAAAGATATATACTACTCCAACTAAAAGCTTCTTACCGAAATTAAGATACATAAAGAATGTAAGTCCTATTTTCAGAGCTCTCAAAGTTCGATCAAAAATATTGAAGTAGTAGAAATTTAATCCTCAAGGCCGTAATTTTTTGATTATGAAATTCATTTTACACAGTCCAGATCAGCCTTTTGATTTATAATTGTATAATGGTAGAAAATAATTCTGTCAAAGAGGTTAATCATTTCATGCAGAATTATTTGATTATGATGTCATTGTAAACATTGTAAGAGAACAAATGAAAAAAAAGAAGATAAGATATAAGAACTGGCAAAACAGTATATTTCGCTTTCTGTGAGGTTTGAAGAATCAGAAAGATTTTAAGTTAGCAAATATTTCATTGATTATTTATCTCAGGAATGTTATTTAGCAATGCGATATCTTATAACCGCTTTATCTTGCATACCACTTTCTAAAATAAATAGTTTTCTTCAAATGTAGAGCAATTTTTTTTAAATGTTATGAGAGAAAAAAAAACAGAAAAAAAAACGCACACGTATTTGAAAAACCAAAGCACAGAGCATTGAAATAAAATATGACGACTTTTAAAATGAAATTTCATTCTGATAATTTTTTTTTGCTACAATAATAGCTCCAATATATATAATAATACTTTTTAAAAATCAATGTTTTTGTTATTGGACTGGTACAAATAAAATTATTATCTTCGTTTTAGTTTACTTTAAAGAAATGGTTTTTAAAATTTTCGCTTCTATTTGTTCGTTTATGGCGGAAAGGTGATGGACTTTCGATTGATAAATTTTAATATAACAGTTGGACAGTTATACTTACTCGTACAAACAGTACGTGTGCTCAAATTCAAAATTTGAGCTCTCGACTTAGTCGGAAATTTCAGCTAATCATATAAATTGTGCATGGTGATAAAATCTGCGAGTAAAGGTAAGGAAATGACTGAAACACGCACTGTCATCCAGCGCTGTGCTTCATTTTAAATTTGAACATCATTAGTACGAAGTGAAATAATGCATTTATTTGTTAATTATTTAGTAATACAAAAAAAAAAAAAGATGTAACATTTCACATAACAAATGAATTTGTTCGTTCGTTTGTTTGGGAATATAAAAAAGTCGTGATGAGTAAATGACGGTTACAGCTAACGAGAGTTTTATTGGAAAAACTGTGTCAAACTGTGACACTTACTTCCAAACATATGATTGACGTTAAATTTCATATGACATTTATGAACAATTTAGAAATAAAATATATTTCTGAAAACGATCGTCAAATAAAGTGTGAACAACGCATTAAGCAAAGAAGATATTTATTCTATTTTTACTGAAATCTAATAAGACTTTAAGGATTTTATATGTGCCTTCTCCCTGTTTTATTCGGTATTTAGGTGGTTTTTACTCATTTTTACGATTTAGTGACTTTCAAAAATAATTAATTGTAATATAAAGCAGAAAAATTTAAATATTCGCGCATATGCGCGCTTGACAATTGGAACGCATTTCTTTCTCAACAAACGTAAAATGTTTGTTGTTGTTCCTTTTCCAAGCCGTTACTATGACAATGACTGAGTGGTGAATTAGAGCGGTTGCCACACAATCCTAAATTTTTTCTATTTATTTATAATGCGGCAGACGATACAGACTTCATCATAACGCTATTCAAAGATCAAATAAACAAGAAACGGAAACACAATAAAAATTTATAAAGCAAACAATCAAGAAGAGAAACTGCTTAAAAAAGCTTCTGGCTTTTATATCTTGGGAAAAGATAAATCCGAAATATTAAAAGTATTGAATTTTGATTTGATATTAATCGGTAGACATCTTTAAAGTTAAAAATTAACATTTTATTAATAATCTTGATTTTTCTAAATAAGAATGATGCTAAGTTTGAATTCGTGCTTAAGCTTAAAATAAATATAAATAGTACAACCTACTTTAACATATATTTTAAGAATTCTTGCAAAAAATAAATAAAATAATGAATATACTGGGGTCTTAAATTAGTATTAAAGAATCAAAATTAAAAAAAATCAAAATTAAGAAATCAATATTCAAAAATCATTATTAAGGAAAAAAAATCAATATCAAAATTAAGTGAAATATAACAATTAAGGCGATATTAGTTAAAATTAAAACCAGTTTGAAACAGTGAGGAAGTGAAACGTAAAATAAATAGAAAAACATTTGTTTTTCATCTAACAATCAAACTGGTTTTTATATTATTT